TGTTCCGTGTTCGCGTGAGAGAGTCTGAAAGGAAGAGAAAGAAAGACAGAAGTGATGGTAGTCAAGGACTCATTAGAGGTTAAAAGAGCGGTAGAGTGTTCCCATCTAATTTACACATCATTATCAGCAGAAAGCCGCAGCACTCATCCATCTCAGTGAACTTAAGCCACTTTATAGTTCTTATATTCTACTGATGCTTTGTTACAGTGCAGCTGAAAGATTCTCTATCAACAAACAGTCCCTTGTTTTTTTCTGAACTCAAGCATGAAACTTTACTCTGGTGAGAAACTCTGTCCCTACAGGCTGTCTTTTTATGTTCTCAAGCTATTGAAGTTTCATAACTTTTACTGTCATTCAAGGTACTGTAATACTCTTGTTTGATCTGGCTCATTTACATTTTCCAGTAAACTGTTGCTAGATATCAGACAAATATTTGACTTTAATTATAATAAAGATAAGCTAACAACCATAAAGAGATTATGTTTGCTAAATCCATAAAAGATTGAATAATTTGTTCCACAGAATATTTGAGATATTTTTTTTCCTTTTATAGACTTCATGTCTGAAAGAGCCGTAGGCAGGTCAGACTTTTTCAATCACCCAATGAGGGAAAATAGGCGGAGACATCCATCTTACCATATAATGAAATGCTGAGTTCATTATATAACCTCAGTTTACTGAGGTAATGTTTTTATGCCAAAATAAGTCAGGATCCGAGATCTTAAAAGCGGATGTGTTTTGGACTCTTAATGTTACAAGATTATATGCAGAAATTTGACCGAACATGGCAATAAGATCTAAGCTCCATTTCCACCAAGCGGTCTGGTTCAGTTTGGTACAGTGCCCATTAATTGGCGTTTCCACCGTCAAAAGTTGGGAATGGTACTAAAATAAGGGATCCGTACAGTCCTACTTTTTTGGTACTCTTCTGTTGGGGTGCCAATGGTACCAGTCCACTAAAGGGTCCCTTGTTTACTGTGTCCCTGTTCTTCTTGAACGTTTAACTTAATTAATAGCTGGCTACACTGTGTTGGGCTGCTATGATGTCACACTATTACATAGCTGAGGCGACTATCTCCATCTGGCTTACACTCAAATAAGGGCACGGTTGGCTGTGGGAATGTGAGCTCTGCAGCTAAAATACAAAAAAGGCTAAAAGCGGTGAACCTTGAAGACAATATCTTGTGGTATTAAAGGGCTCAGACACCACTTCATTTTTTAGTACACCAGGGTTGAGATGTAATAATATAATGAAATAGCATAACCTTATAGTGTTTTGCTGAGGTTTAAAGCTGAGAATCAAACATTTTAGCTCCATAATGTTTTATTAACTATAAATGTATATACTATTTGCCTTTTAAGTATTGCAGGTATTACCTCACATCTCTACAAAACACTTGTGTGTGTTATACTCATATGTTTTGTTGTTTCTCACAACACAGTCATAGGGGCGTTCTGTTTCTTTCTGCGTAAACGGCTTGTGTCAGAGCAAAGGGAAAAAAAGCCAGATTTCCCACTGTGATGTAAAATCTGGTGCAATACCTGAGTGGACTAGTTGTAAAAAAAAAAAAAAAAAACCCTTTCCGTAATATCCAAGAGGGCGTGTCTGGGGAGTCAAACTATTTACACACACACTCAGACGCACACACACAGTGAGTGTACTGAGATCTGTGTCAGCTGTGACGTCAGATTAGGTGTGATATTGAAACAGTTGGTAAAACATATGTTGGGTGTTATGTTTCAGCACTTTCACTCTATCTGTTATCTTTGACTCTGTCTTGTACTCAAACATGATACACACACTCATACACACTTCTCTTAAACACCCAGAACAGCTGGACAATGAGTTGATCTGTCATCTATCCCAAGTACGAGAAAAACTCTGAACTTTACAAAACGACTGGTGAGATCCAAACCATGACTTGAACTGTTTTTTCCTTTTTTTTTAATGTGTAAATTTAGCTGCTCTTTTTGTCTGTGTCTCAACTGCCTGAATGTTGTTTATGTTGCTATGTGTATCTGGAGAGCCTAAGGAAAATATACAATAGATACTTATTCTTTGTTCTATTATATTATTTTCCATTATATTCTATTCTATTATTTTTTATTCTATTCCATTCTATTCTACTGTTGAATGATTACATCATTGATATGTGACTGTGGTTTCACACCTGCAGTAGAGACAACAGATGAATCACTTGACGTGTGTGTATGTGTAGGTTATACTTGTTTATATAAATGCTTATGATTTATCTTCTAAAACAGGGAGACAAACTGAAGATGAATTGTCCGTTCTCACAAGGCATCATTTTCAGGCAGGGAAGCCTGTCGCTGATTTAATGTCGTACTGTCTTGTTCCGGGTTACACATTCTATAAACTTATCAGAATCTTTAAAATGTTAACACTTACTGGATCACTAAATGAAGGGAACAGAGAAAGGAAAAAAAGACCGTTGTCACTGCATACTACTTGATCCTGTCAGCTAGTTATGTCGGACATAGAGGACAGAAACGCTAACATTAGTATACATCCCAAACATGTTAAAAGTAGAAACAGATGCGTGTCGCTCCGCTGCTGTTGTTCTCTCAACTCCACCAAGCCGAGGACAGAGAGCAAGAAAGAGAGCTGTTGACAAAAGTCTCATTACGAGCCCGATGAGTCATCCTGATTGGTTGTTTGATTCAGACATGATGAGTTTAAATAAATAAATAAATACAAAGGGGTGGATGCTCACAGATGTTTATCAGACACACATTTATTCAAAGGAGAACTTAAATTGGATATTGTTAGCAGCGTGTACTGATCAAAATGTGGTATTTGAACCAAAATTCTAAATAAATAATGTTATCTACTACAGCTTTAACTGTAAAGTGATGCGATGTGAGCATAGTGTATAAGAGGAAGGGTTGGGGGCGTCACGTCCGAGACGAGGAAAACACAACAAAGACGAAAAGTTTATAGAGAAGAAGTTTCTGACAGAATACTCTTTAGTATACTTGTGCGTTTGCCAGAGGGCAAGCTGGAGACGGGGATGAGGACAACAAGTTTGCCCTTTCCTCAGTCACCAGGAAGACATCAAGGCTATCCTTTTCCACAACCCAACCTCACACTCACTCAGCGGCTGCCCCTCACAGAGATCACAGAGAGATAGCACAGCTTTGAGCCATTTAGTTGTAGTGGGAAATATGCCTGGCATGTCCAGTGGGTCTCTTTGGTGTGCCAACCATGTTCACAAACACACAAACACTTTTTTTTTTCTGATTTGAGAAGAAAAATGACTTCCTCCAAGGTTGTTCCTTGGAAACTGTTTGCAACCAAATAAAATAAATCTTAACTGTTCTTCATTGTGTAAAGACAAAGAATAACTTAATGGTTAGTTGAAGGCAGGATTATACTTTTGAATTCTTCATTAATGTTTATTTTTAAATTATTTAAAATTGTCTTGAAAGACAATGCGTTACTTTTGTTTAGCTTTTGCTTAGTCGTATTTAGTTGTTATTAGTTTTAGTGTTTGTTTAAAAAGAAAATAGCAATCTGGAATACTTCCCAGGGGTGAGACCCAAAAGGGCGAGAAAAAATAATGAGTAAGAAAAGTCAAAACATCCTAGCATCCTTTTGCTGTTAATACTTTTTTTTTAGTCATCCTCCTCCCTTCCACATCAGATACAAACATAACGTTACAAAAGCTACAATGAGCAAGGAGCCATGGTCATGGATGATATTACTAAAGACCATCTAAAGGTTTTATATTTACTGACAAATTGCTCCATTTAATTTTTAATCATTTTATTCTTTTATCAGGACAGATTTGTGTCCAGTTGTTTATAAATCAGTGTCATTTATTTACTAGTAGTACCTTCATATTTTGACTATTATGTTTAATCTATTAGTTTTCTGTATGTAGTTCTTTGTTTTATTTTATGTACAAGCTGCCCCAAATCAATTCCCCTTAGTAATATAGTTAGTTATTAGATATTTCATTTTCATGCTTGTAGCACAAAGTGCAATCTATAAACAGCTTAAAACAGCCACTTCATTTAAAAAAATAGATAATACAAATCCCTAGTTAAACGTGAACTGTAACAAGGACAGAAATCAGGTGGTTGCGCTTGATTGAATGATGTTACCTCTTTAAATAGTGAGGATGATCACGAAGGAGACGTCATTCCCCCGTCATCCCCAAGGTGTCTGTTGCACCTTGGGGAATCCCTCCTGACCTTAGCATCCCCACCAGACGGGATTATGGGATATAGGTTGATAGCCTCAGTGATGAAGCAGATATCCCCGGTGACAGGGGTTAGTCATCACCATGGTGATTGATCACCAAGGAGACTAAGGAGCTCATCATGACATCCCAGAGGGAGACGGTATCTCTGGTTGTGAAAAGATGTTTGACTGTGAATCAGTGGCTCGGTTGGTGCAGAGGTATTCCCTGTGGTCAAATGTAGGTTACTTTCATATTGCTGAGTGTTGCAATGTGTAACACATAATGCCCATCGTCCCGTAATCAGACGGATAATGAAGCACTTACTGATTATTGGAATTGTTAAGCTCTTAAGAAAATGCACGTCAGCCTGCATTTGTTAAGAGCCCGTTACAGGGCCCACATGTTCATTCACTGCGCACGTCATTAAAGTGTGGGCACGTCATGTTATGCTTTGAATTTTCCACTTATCACCGGGGAACATATGGAGAGAAAAAAAAAACATTTATGTGTCAACATGTGCGTAGTCTCTGAAGTCATCACGACCTCTAACATATATTTAAGTTTGCAAAAAGCCTGTGATTTATGGAAATGTGGAGAGTTGAGTCACATCATGTGGCATTAAGAAGAATCTGTGAAAGGCAACATGTGAATATAGTTTTAATTCATGCACATGTGCTGTCTATTTTTACTACAAAATGGGTTTCTTTGCAGTACAAATGAGCACGTGTACATGCTCAGATTCTGACTTATTTTCTTGTTGTTTCTTCCTCCAATTTCTCTTTCTCTATGCAGTTTCGATGTGGACAATGGCACATCGTCAGGTCGCAGCCCCCTGGACCCGATGGCCAGCCCGGGCTCAGGCCTCATCCTGCAGGCCAACTTTGTCCACAGCCAACGGCGAGAGTCATTCCTCTACCGCTCGGACAGTGACTACGACCTCTCGCCGAAGTCTATGTCCAGAAACTCCTCCATTGCCAGTGACATGTGAGTCCATCTCGTCTTCTTCTTCTACCTGTTCATGAAAAAAAAAGACCCAAAACACTCCCTCTTGTGCTGGATAATTGATTTTTCTGCCTCTTTGAATTTGGTGTCGAGGCTGGATGTTTCTCAGACCAGATCTTATAACTGCCACTCTGATGGGAAGTGTGCTTGACCAACAGCTGATTGTGTGGTGTCACATCTATTATTAGTCTTAACCAGTTGCATACATATGGAGGTGAGCCACAAAGTAACCTCACGCACAGTTTTTTGGCGCTGAAATATTCTTTCCAGATAGGCCATTGTGTCTGTTTAGCTTATAAAGACAATTGGTTGGATTTTGCAGCTGCTTTTGATCTGTTTACATTCTACAATTGTGTAATCATTCAACATTTTCAACACTTAGCCCCATTAACTTAGAGCTTTCAGAGGCACACACAAACCAGCTGCTATCTTCTCGGTCGAGTGTAAAATGTTTATTGTGCTTATTTCCCACACGTTGGTGGCTATCCAGTTACATGCAATGTGCGCTGCGAGATCTAAATGTATTGACTGAAAATAGCATTTTCGATCCAGCCTGAAGAATAACAAATAGACTTAAGGATGAAAAATGATGTCCTGCTGTAACCTTAGACTTCCTCCGCACTGCTGCTTTTTGCTTTGGAGTATTGTACAAGTAATCCTTTTTTGACGCACACCCACTATCCAGTTACCAAGCTAGAAAACCAGTATCACAAGTATTCTTTAATCCTTTTAAAATATATATATTTTACGTTTATATAGTTTAACAATCAAGCTTAGGTTTTGAACCAAAGATAAATGCTCAGAGTACCAATGGTTAAAAAAGTCCAGGAAGTAAACCTCTAGTTCTTAATAGAGAGCTTGGGTAGCCCTTTCTTGCCGGCCTAAAGCTTTAAAGGTTAAGTTACTAATTTTCCCTCCTCTAACCACTGAGCAAATATTCTTTCCACCAATGTCAACCAGCCTACGTATATGCCCTTTCATCTTACCCTTAAATCACGTGTATGTGTCTTTCTATAGGCGCACATGACGAGCCTCTCACCTCTCTTTGACTTACACCTCAGGCATTTCACTTCCTGTGACTGGGTCGCGCATAACATAGCTGTAGGCTGAGAGCTGCTATCCTTACATCCTCCTGTCAGGGGAACAAATGTTGACTGTCGACACACCTGTGACCCGTCATAGCGAACCTCAGAGGTCAGCGGGATTCAGAGTGGAAAGATCTCCTTCATCTGGAATTAATTGCGTAGCGCTGTCCTCTCCTGTTACGAGGAGGTGCCATTGAGCAAGGCTCTTAAGAACAACCCTCTCCAGGAGCCATGTGTGTTAATTGTGAGCTTAAAAATCACAGCAATAAGAACAACAAAGTCACAAAACCACTTAACCGACTGTTCCTTGAATAAATTAAAGTCAGTATGCACTTTAAATCCAATTATTTTTTAAAGTAATTTTTTGGGGTCTTTTTGGCTTTTTTGGATAGGTCAGCTGAAGAGAGACAAAAAATGACGGGTGGAGAGAGTAGAGGGATGACAAACCTCCTTACACTGGGCGCGCAACATAACGGCTAGGCTATCCAACAGCCCTAAAAATAACTTTAAGACGTGATTTAAAAGATAACGATGACCTATTTTTTATACATCAAAAGATGTCAGATAACAGGAGGAAAGAGAGAAAGGACATTGAGAAAAGGTGACTGTTTGAGGGTCACTTCATTTGGACGAGTGTAAAACGTTTCTGGGTTTCGCAGTGTCCATGCTGCGATGTTATCTTTCAAAACACTAGAAATGGCATTCACTAAACTACTATGTGTATTAGGGGTGGAAATCGCAGGGTTTCTAATGCACAAAATGATCTAAAATAGGTGGCCCACGATAACAATAATATCAGGATGCAGCGATTCTGTGGTAATTGATTTATTGTCGGACAATCATATAGTGATACACCGGGCTATATCTGATTAACTGAAGAATGTTAATGCAGTTAAATGCAGGATTAGTGTGTTTATTAACTGTTATTTGGTATCAGTGTTACCTCTTCTCAGACTTCTTCTTTGGCCAATTAACGTTCCTTCATGTTCACCTCATTCATGTCATAGCACCACTGTGAGGAGTCATGCAGCAGTGATGAGTATTGAAATTATCAGGGACATTCGGGGACAGAACATAATGCAGTATTGATATTTTGTCCCAGCTCTTAATATGTTTCCAAAGAGAGCTGTTCTGAAAGTATTAGACACTGTGTCAGGGCCTCAGCTGGTCTGTGATGTGATGAGTGAATGTCACTGTGACTGAGTGCATCACACACACTGACACTCATCGAATGTGATGACCCGTGCTCCTTTCGCTGTCCAATGTTATTACAGACTGTACATCTGTATTGTAACCTTAAAGCTGTTCTCTTTGTGTCTTTCAGTCATGGTGACGATATGATTGTAACGCCATTTGCACAGGTGAGCGCTTGTAAAAATGTATCATGTTTTGTCTGTTTATTTAAACATCGGCTTCAGATGTGATTAAATCTGTGTGATTAATCCTTTTCAAACTTGCTCCCTCCAGGTTCTCGCCAGCTTGAGAACAGTACGAAACAACTTTGGTGCATTAACTAATTTACAGCAAGACCGAGCGTCCAACAAGTACGTTACCAAGCTTTACTCATTTTCTCATTAAATCTGTCGTGAAAAAAAAAAGAGGCTCAATGTTCAACATGCCAACATGAAAACAACATTTAAACAGTCGCTGTGACTCAGATGATGTTCAACATGCTGCTCCTACATACTGTACTGTGTCCACTTTAGTCAGGCTCGGTGCCCCCTCTGGTGTTCACACTGAGTACTACAACAACACTGACCACTGTTAACTTCTGTCAGGCCTCCACATGTACACATGAGTGAATCACTGCTGGTCAGAAGATGTGTTGAGGGAAACCACTGATTGTGTTTGGAAAGATATATCTTAGTATTTTATTTTGTTTCTTCCCCGTTACAGGAGATCACCCATGTGTAACCAACCCCCCATCACCAAGACCACCTTTACAGGTATGTGGACAAACAGAGAAGCATGATGCCGTGCGTGTGTGTGCGTGCGTGTGTGTATGTGTACTTTTGTGTGTATAATAAGATGTGTGGTCTGTGAATCAGGAGTAGATTTTGCCATTAAAGACTGTTGTTAGCATTAGCTCTCTAATGTTAAGCGTTCATGCAGAGTGTATGAAGGTTTAATAAGTGGTTCATAAAACACAATAATGTAGTTTTAAGCAGTTATTATTACTTTATAGGACTATAACTTATTCTGTGAGCCCTTATAAGAGCTGTATAAATTGTAATGGTTGAATGATATATAACTGTAGTTTAATAACACTTGTTATTATAATGCTCTTATGTCTACTTATTTAAGCATTATAGTATGTTATAAATGATTCCCTCAGTGTCCATCACTTGTAAATGCTCAATAGGGCAATTTAAAGTAAAGTGATACCACATGAGTCGTAGTCGCAGCAGTTTGCACTCTCGGACATTAAACTGGAGGCCGATAGAATAGACTAACACCTGTATGACGTGGCTGGTGATGCTTTGTGATTTTCTTTGTCTGTTGTCAGTTGTCAGCCTGTCGGTGATGAGGGACCAGAAAAAAGCTGACACTTTGTGCAGGGAGCCAAAGAACAGGAACATAATATTCAACCTGGTCAGAAATCAAATACGGACGATATGTTTAGTAGATAAAAAAGAAATGGATAAGAGCAAAAAGCTTTGTAAGTAGCTGTTGGTTCACTATTTTTGGGGAAGATAGGATGATGAAGCGTTTTTGTGAACAGCCATGATGCTGCAGAATTTAAGTCTTTCACTTTCTAGAAAGAGAACTACAGTTATAATGATTAGGCAAGTAAACTGGTTTATGAGCACGTGTTCAGTTTCTGCTTTCATTTTGGACTTGACAAGATTTTAGATGAAAATCCATCATATGTGTAAGGTCCAAAGTGAAAGGATGTGAACCCTGTTCTGTAGTTTATCTTGTCTTTAGCGCTGCGACCTTCCCTGTCAACAACTTTCTTTGGCAGTGCTTTTTTCTTAAATTGGTCTTCCAGTTTTTTAAAGCTTTACGCTGAAACCTCCTCATGTCTGTTTGCGTCGAATCAAGTTGATTGGTTTTGATGCAATACAGCTGCCATCCATCCATAACCATAGAAAAAGGAGGTAGTTATATGTTATTCACATGGGTGCAAAATCTGCTGACTGAGGAAGAAATAAAGGCCCGCACAAAATACCACAAAAAGTTTCGACCAGAGCACGGGCCTATCTTCTTCCTCACCCATAACCACAGACATATCAACACTTCAGTTATCACCGGCACATCCTATCAACAGTCTGATGTGTTGGAACCACTAAACAGACAGCCTTCTTCCTGTAGTGATGTGAACACGGTGCAGACCGTCTTCACAGACAGAAAAAAGATAGATAGATAAGTCACTTGTACTTTGGTTGCAGTATCGATGGATGTGACTAAGCTGAAGTTTAAGAAGAACAAATATACCCCCCATAATTAACATGTTTGTCCATTCAGATGATCCCTAAGCCATGAGCACTGACACCAGTAGAATGACAATCACTGATGCTCATTGAAAAGGGGTGTTACAACACATCAAGTGCTACTATTAGCACAAGAGCTAAAGACGGAAAAAAAGGGAAGCGGTCTTAATTGACTTTAGTCAAAATCTATATAAGAGGGACTGGTGACGTTGTGCTATATTTAAAACACGATCATACTGGTGCTCAACCATTATGGGCCCTGCCATAAACTGGTGACAGCTGTGAGTCATGAGCAGTATTGTTTGGGAGTATTGACGACTTGTTATGTAAAGGTCTGCTGAGGCGGAGAGACTAACTCCTCCTGCGTCTTCATAAAGACAGTGATGGAGGTCTGATGATCAGTAACTCAGTGTATCAGTCAGGAGGATCCTTTGCTCTTTCTTTACCTTCCTATTCACCCTCAACATCCTGACATCGTCGTCTTCTACATGTCAGAGCATTTCTCAGTCACTGAGTCACAGTGAGATATGACACTGATACAGAAAACAACAACTCTAGATACTTTGTGTGAACCTACCACCTATTGTGTTTAAAAATAGATTCTGCTTAAAGAGAGAGGCCGTACAGTCTGACGTGTGCAGACAATATTCCTAAACCTTGAACTAACAAACACACACACTATGAAAGTTGACTTGTTTTCATTTGAATCCTGCATATAAAGTTCATTATACCTCTAAATTCATGTTACTTCTTAAAGTTTAAATGGAAACAACATTGCTTGAGGTGCTAAGGCACTATATCAGATCCCAAATAAAAAGATTTAATGAATGAATGAAAGAAAGACATTCTTTCGAACTAGATATTAAAATACAATTTTAAAAAAGTAACAGTGTCTGAAAAGTCAAACTTCTATATCCCTTTACTTTTCTCTTCTATTAGTTTAGATATTATTCCAACAAATGCTGAACTTTTTTTAGGAAACTTAAGTACAGTTGTATCTCCTGTTTATATGCCACCTAAAATAATCTGCCCAGATCTCCTCAAAGCTCTTCAATCTAAAAGTATGGCAGTCCTCTCTCTCTCATTATAAGGCAGTGTGTAGGTGGTAAAAGTTTAACCAAAATTCTACTTTTTTTTATCAATACCATTTCAATTCCCACAAAAAAAACAGTTTGTACCAAAGCTGCATTACTTGGGGATAAACTATTGTGAACAGGAGGGAAGCAAAAGATAGAAACTAAACATCATCAAGCAGAATTACATCATCACGTCATTTTACAGAACCCTGAATTATATTGGAATTCTTAGAAAGTATCTTCAGTATTTATTTTTAGTCACATTGAAAGTGGTATGCCTCCACTGCAGGAGCATATTGTCATTATAAGCGGATGATAAAAACTTCAGATGTAACCTTAACTGCGTAATAATAAGACAGTTGGGATGATGAATGGAACAGTCTTGATTTGATCTTGAAGTGAAATGCTTACCTGTAAGTAAAAGAAAAGTATAATTAGCTTCAGTCTACACTCTTCAATGATGTTGTTTTTATTTTTCATCTAACCCCATGGTGAGTTTCATTTGTAATCTATGACTAACTTCTTAGTGGATCCTAGTGGGGGAAATTGTTAAGACAGACAGAAATATATTTTTATTATTAAACTATAACTTCCACTTCTTTTACTGCTGCTGCAACTCATACATATCATTTATAATTTTAAAGTTCAGCCTCTGCTCTCTCCTCGTATCTGTCGATTTTCCTCCTCCTCCTCTCTCATTTTCTTCTTCTCCCTCTCAGTCCGGCTTCACTGTCGAGCTGTTCCGGTACATAGTTTGACTGCAGCCCTGCGTCTGTGCAGCAGAGTGGCCTCTCCGAGCGCCGGTGTCTGATGTCGCACTAAGCATGAGAAGAATGTCATTGACGTCAGTGCAGTCGCTGTCAGAAAGAGTAGCACCCCAGCCACTGACACCACACCAGGGATAGAGACAGAGGGAGAAAGAGAAAGCGAGACTGAGAGAAAGAGAGAGGGGTGGGGGGGGGAGACAAAAGAGGGGCGGAGGAAGGATGTTCAGTGATGAGTGGAGGAAACGAGGAGTGTGGGAGAGGAAGGGGAGTAATGGAAGGAGAGATATGTTAAAGACAATAGGGAGAGGGGGGGGGTACTGTGGAGTAAAGGAGGTGACAGAATAGGTGAAGAGATTGTGGTGATGCTTATATACTAGAATGTGTTACACTAAAAGTCAAATGATCTGTTCATCTCTCTACATTTTGATTGCCCTGTACCTTTTCAGTGACATAAAAACTACACATGCAACCCAGTGCTGTAAACGTTGCATCATTTGACCACTTCAGTTTTTATCAACTTCATTTTCTTGTACTTGTAATTTCAATAGTTAAGTACAATTAATATCCAAAAGCTACGTTTGACACTTAAGCACAGTAAACATCAGATACTTTTTACTCGAGCATGTTGCATTATTTCATTTGAAAATAATTTGTCCCCTGACATGTAAAAAGAGCGTGTTGTCTTATAAACCATGTTAAAGATCATACAGCGTTTTCCTCAAGATCCTAACCACATTTTAAGCTCAAACAGCATCATGTGCCATCCGTCTGTTTAATTAAATTACAGCTAAACTGCCCCCCCCCCCCCCTCCTTTCAGATCACAAAGCATTAAAAGCCTGAGCTTTCCCAAATTAGTCAGGGCATCAATATTAATTGGCTTCCAGCAAGGAGACATTTTCTGTTAACATAGGCTGACTTTGAGAGGAGCATGTCTCCACTTCCAAATAAGAAGGATGTCTTGATGTAGTCCTTGTCACGCTACACACTACAATCCTCCATCTTTCACATGTCTCCATCATCTTTTTGTTTACGTCTCTGTAGAGGTGAATCAGTATGCTGAGCACATATTAGCGTGCATGCACACACGGCGTAGGGAGCTCCCAGCTTCAGCTCGGCCCCTCTGTCACTCCGCTCCGTGTTTTGTCGCTCTCTCTTCCCCGTCCACGGTGCGGTCCTCTCAGGCTTTAGGTACAGCTTGGGGAGAGCAGCACGTTTGGCTGCCAGGGACGCCGAAGCAACAGCAGCCCACCCCCTATACACACGGCATCTATAGGAAACACTATCTCACACACATACCCACGCAGAACAGGATTACACCCTTTGCTTCCCGGATACCATGGATGTTTTTATTGACTGAGAGGCCAAGGAGACAAAATCAGGATGTGTTTTGGTTAGCATATCGTCTGGTGTGAGTGTGTGTGTGTGTGTGTGTGTGTGTGTGTGTGTGTGTGTATGCATGTGTGTGTCTGTTTCCATCTGTGTGTGTGTGAGATGTCTTTGTATTTGTTAAGCATGTCAGGATGCCATGAACAGTCTGGTTCTTGTTCCGTGTTGGACAGTATTGACATTCATCTTGACTGTTTCTGAGCTGCTCTCTGGATCCTCTTTCCCTCCATCCCTGTCCCCCCCCCCCCCGCTCCATCCTTCCCATGGCAGACATGGGCCTGCTTAGCAGACTGCTGTTCATCCTGCTACATGACTGGAATTACATCTCCCTTATAAATGACAGCGTGAACCTTATACAGCTAGATCGCTGACTGTGATATGTGTGTTGTGTATGAGTGAGTCTGTCTTTCTGGCTGTTGCTCCTTTTAGCCTCTGCTGTGAATTTCATACTATTAACATCCCTTCGGACACCCACAACTGACTTGGGTGGCTGTTTGCCATCCATCACCTGCACCTGTGGGATTTAATTATACACCCTCTTAAAATGAAGGATCCAGGACTTGAGCTGTAGGACAGCACTGGAGCTGTATATATACATTTTTTTCTTTTGCAACATCTGACCTGTGACTGCTCATCTGTGGGTAAGGATACAGGACAACAAAGGCCCTCCTCCCAGGCCCCCGCAGCTGGCTCACCTGTCCAGTATGAAGAGTCACCCATGTGTCTTCTCGGGGTATCCCAGCTTAGCTGTTTGTGGGGTGGGAGACCCCGGGCCTGGGCCGTCCACTAGCCCTCTGAAGCGGGCTCTTACTGACCCCTTGCCCTCCTGTCTTGCCCCTGCAGAGGAGGCATACCAGAAACTGGCCACTGAGACCCTGGAGGAGCTCGACTGGTGTTTGGACCAGCTGGAGACGCTGCAGACGAGACACTCGGTCAGCGAGATGGCCTCCAACAAGGTAAGAAAAACCAAAAAGTTTGAATCTTTCTTCTATCAAACAAAGCTTTTGATTGTTTTTTTAATTTCTTGACTTCAAGTGCAAAGTCATACAAACTTACTGCCTGTGCAGGAGCTGCTACCATGGATTTGGTTTTCTGTGTTTTTGTGGCTGAAGTGAACATAGAAATGTTTTGTACATTGTGTAAAGATGAGTGCAAAGTGTATCACAAAAACAAATCATATTTACTTAAAGGATTGCACTTTGATATACTGGATATTATACACTCTGATTGATTGGTCATTTGAGCGTTTATTTGTTTGGGCTTGTTTCACCTTTCATGAATAGAGCCAGCTGAAGATAGAAAGGATAAAATACAGCAACGGGTCTGTATTGAAAATGAACCCAGGCTCTTGTTTTAGATACTATATAATGATAATGATAACAAATGGTGCTCACCCGCCCCATATTAAGTGTTTCTTGTCAAGGTTACAGACTATTTTATAGAATATACCTGACACTGGAGGTGGTTGTGAACAGCACTGTATCAGTACGTGTTGTTTTTTTGGATTTGTTTTCTGAAGATATCCCATATTTTGTTTTCACATTCTTCAGCGGAGAAATAGACGTGATTCATGGTTTCAATGATTTCATGGCATTGCAAGGAGAAGTTTGGTCCCTGGTTTATGATGGCTTGTTGATGCATCTGATTTCAGCTCGTATTATAAATTGTATTGAACGGTCATCCCTCTCTGGGCCTGGTTCAGCTCAGTTGGTGCCACATGTAAGAGGCAAGGGGTCGCAGGTTTGACTCCCGGCCTGTAACTATTTGGTACATGTGATTCCCTGCTCTCTGTCCCAACATTTTCACTCTCCTCAGCATTCCTATGAAATAAAGGCAAAAAGGCTCTGAAATTCATCTTCAGAAAACAAAAATGACTTGGTATGCGAGATCTGCTCCATAGCCTTTCTGTTTAACGGTCAAGTGTGAATTAAAACAATAGTAGTAGCTGTTTGAGTCTGAGGACTTGTGCAGTCATCATGTGCTTGTCAGATTAGCTCAGTCTTGATTTGATGTGCTTTGTGCCTTTTACTGCAATCAGCGGTCACAGAGCACATTGGTCTGTTCGTGTTGTATTGTCTATGTGTGTTAGTGATAGCATCGTCATGCAGCCAGAGTGTGTGTGTGTGTGTGTGTGTGTGTGTGTGTGTGTGTGTGTGTGTGTGTGTGTGTGTGTGTGTGTGTGTGTGTGTGTGTGTGTGTGTGTGTGTGTGTGTGTGTGTGTGTGTGTGTGTGTGAGAGAGTGAAGGGAGGCTGCTGTGCTGCTCTGAATGCTGATCAGCTCAGGGCTCTGGTGATGTCACATTCTGTGATGTCACACACGAGGGGATGTACCGGGGAGCGGTGAGGAGGACAAACAGACAAAGGAATAAGACGAACGCACACACATACACACACACACACACACACTCACCTCTGATTTCACCACAAACACATCCATACATGACCTGGGTGTCCAGCTTATTCTTAAGTCCAAAAAAAAAAAACACTTATATGATCTGCCTCACTATTGCTTACCAGCACAGCTATCACTGGTTGTCATGGCAACAGCCACAGGCCCAACCAGCCTCCCTCCTGAAACACATAGACGTTATAGGTAAGACAGTCACTACATCTCCCACACAGTCATAATTTTATGTCTGTATCCTGCAGACTTTCATTCATCAGGACTCAACATAATTCTACATTCATCCACGTAGAGAAATACATCAAATTACAGTCTTCACCTCCCTTACTCTTTAACATTGCTGTTAAAACATTGAGTTTACAAGTCCTTTGTGTCCTTAAGTAATTATATTAAGTTGACACTGATGTTTTGCGATTCAATTTGTGCAAGCAGTTCAGTTCCTTCTTCTTCCCTCTTTAATGACCTCAATCAGATTTTGACACAGCCTAGGAAAAAAATGCACCTCACTTTGACACATCAGCATTCCCAAAGTCTAAGTTTAAGGCCAGGGCTTTCTTTAACTCCAGGTCAAACAGGGTGGCTTTCCTTTTTTGTCTTGAAAGGACCTCACAGGAGGAAGATCACATGTGTACTAAACTTAGTGATAAACAAGTCAGTGTCCTTATCACAGTCAAATGAATGAACGAGTGGTTAGGGTTAGGGTGGTTTATGTTTAGGATGCTCCTGTGTTGGCTTGCCCTGAACAATATGAGAAAAATATACAATGTGTGATAACATTGTTTAGTATTATGATAATGATATGAGGTGTGATATACAGACAACAATGTAAGAGTGCATTTAAGCTAGAGCTTATAGTTTCTATCTGCTGTACCTCAAGTTTTAACATGTCCCGCCAAAATCCAAAATGAATATAAGCGGGTTTATTTCACTACTTCATTGGCACTGATTGATCTGAAGGTAGCTTGTTAAATTGAGCTTCATCTGACTGCATCAAAATTGTGTAAGAGCATGGACATTATAACCAGACCTCCATCCAACAGGAGAAATGTCCACATGCGGCGTGATAAAGCATTGCTTGTTTATATTAAATCATTTCCATATTTAGTGCGATTAATTTGAGCTTTTGCGATGTGAAAATTGGAAGTTCTCATATTGGTGTAGTAATGATTTGAGATTCACATTTACTCTCTTTGTGTGGTTGTTGGTGTTTCTGGAATCAGCAGCTGGTCGGGCAGATCATTCCCCTACATTATATGACAAGAGTGATACTGTTTATGATTACTTGGACTTCAAAAGTGTCACTATTACTAGTAAAGATAAACTCTTGTGGATTAAAACTTGCATGCTGTAGTGATGTTCTGCTCCAGATTATTGGTGGCCTTAACTATGGCACTGGCATCTGGCAGTACGAACTTTAATTAACGCCCTATCATCTTGAAACCATCATTTCATAAGGACTGAATTTGATGTCACTGATGTCACTTTTCATATACTTTAACATGCTATTAATGTTTGCATTGTTCTCTCTGCAAGTGCATTTGAAGTGTGGATTCAAGTTTGTATGGACTGTCAAATAAGTGATACCTGGACTCTTTGAATTGGCTGATCATGGGTACTAATACCATATCAATGTTTGTTATTGTAGTTTGCAGTGCTACCTCCACCACTTCAAAACATAACACCTTTCATAAATCAAGTCAGTTTTATTTAGAAAGCACAACTGAAAACAACTTGAGTTGCCCAAACTAATGTACAATAAGATAACAAAGCCAAAATGAGCATAACATGGTAAAAGCAAAGAGGCTAAAAAATGATTCTTTTTATTCAACCTTTAAGACAACAGGAAGCTAAGGGGGGAAATGGAGATGATCTTTGGACACTGAAGGACACTGAAATGTACGAGAGAATAGTGTGTGTTAAGACTTGTCTCACAAAGGCCTAAAGAGGGGGAACACTTGATACTTAGAGGTATGCTATTCCAGAGCTTTGGAGTGGCTACAGAAAATGCACGATAGCCTCGACCAGCCAGGAGCAGCTGGTCTGATGATCTCAGAAGTTATGGTTTGAAGGGGTGGACGAGTTCAGAGATGTACTGGGGGGGGGGGGCAATGACATGGACAATGTCTCTATAAATCATAAGCGTTGCATGCATGAAATACCTTCTTCTTCTTTCTTCCAAAACTCTAGCCATGTGTACCACTGACACGTGATGTAGAACGCATAGGTGTCATTATTAAAATAAAACACAGTGACGAGGATCAGTCCCTTTGTCGCAGATGCCTGATTCATTTTGAGATTCTTGTGGTGTCTTGATTTTAAACACAACAGTAAAACCATTTTAAGTTTCAGCTCTAATGAGGCGAGAGGAAACCAAAACATAGCATAGCAGCTTATTGGAGCAAGTTGCTTAACTGTTCTTAAACACAATCCAGTCTCTTTTAGTCCTTCCATCTTTACTTCAGAATAAATACTACTATTAGTTACACATGCCTTGCTGCAGGCCTTCCCTATCTGCTGGCAGATCAACATTTCAAAACTCTCTATAGAGTGGATGCCAGATAGCCTAGCGGTTATGTTGCGTGCCCCATGTACAGAGGCTTTAGTCCTTTAGTCCCCCCCCCCACTTCAGCTGGTTGATATCACTAACTATCACACCTTGATTCTGTTCTAAACTCATCGCTCTTCTCATGCAGGTCAAAGTGATTCTTCAGTAAGTTCGCTTTAAGTTGGTTTTGTTGTGTCTGAGCAGGTTTCTCAATAAGCTGTGTGTTATAATGCAGACTCTTTGTCTAGCTCCTGTAGAGGGCTTGTTGACTTACTGTTTTTCATTCACGGTGTACATTTTCTTCTCCAGATTTTGCCTGGGTCATGAATGGACAGCAGATTTTTCACAGTCAGTGGTACTTTAATTGAAAAAGTAGCGGATATTTCTTTGTTGTGGCAGAGAGGAGGTGTCTGCCACCACAGTAAAAATGGATTGTGAGAAAAAGAAAGAAATGCATCAGAGATTTGGAGGTGCCCTGGGCTATATACAGCAGGGAGAGGATATTTATGGCCCTCGCCAAAGAACAAATTACACTCAAGTCACAGCCTCGCTTGGTGTGACACTTGTCAATTTTTGCCCAATAGTTTGTGTTCACGCCTCTTGGTGGAGCCATCAGTGTGTGTGTGTGTGTGTGTGTGTGTGTGTGTGCTATATTTGTCTGACACAGAGTGGGAGATTGTGTTTCTGTGGGGGTTATGTTTGTGTGTTTGCCTCTGTAGGGAGTTAACTGTGTGTATATAAGTGTGTGTGTCTGTGTGTTTCTGTGCATGTGTGTGTTTGGTGGGCCTGTGTCGTCCTGCTTGGCTCAGAGTCAATCAAAGCTGCTGGATCTCAGTGAGCCTGTTGTCTCATCTGCTCCAGTGTAGCTGTAAATTACTCTCAGTGCCAGGCCGCCTGCACAGGTGGGGTGTAAAGTAAGCAGAGACAGGGTGGGTCCCTTTTCAATTCATGTACGTGTCCAGTGTACCGCCACAGACACACGACACATGCTTATGCACATGTGAATTCACAAAGAGACAAATGAAGCCATCCTGCATGAATCAAAGCCTCATAGCTTGTGATGGGGATTTATGAATAAAAAGATCAACCCTTTTTTTTGTATGAGATTGGGAAATAAAATCATAATGTCATGTGTTCCCAGTAGAAAAAAAAAATCAGTTAAAAAAAACATTGCATAAAAATTGTAGTTGAATTTAACATGTGGAGACGCCAGTTAGTGTGCGCCCTTAAGGTGAGGTCCTCACCAGCAGGTGGCCCGGGTTCAAATCCGACCCGTGGCTCCTTTCCCGCATGTCGTTTCCTACTCTCTCTCTCTATCTCCTTACTCGATGTCGACAGAATTGATGAGAATTTCCATAGTTTTGGATGCTTGCCAGATACGAGGTCTGGCTTTAAATCATCTGTTGTTTTCTTTAAAAAATAATTATTTTTGTATTACATATTTATATTTACATTAGACTATATGATTCACTAAAAGACATTAAAAAGCTGCAATGAAATTAGAAATCGTTGCCTGAACATGAAAAGTGCTTTTTTTTTTTTTTTTTTTTACGTTCAATGAAACCCTTTCATCAATAAGGTTTGATCTTTGTTTCAGTCCGAAGCCACGACCTCTGGAGCTCAGTGACACAAACAGAGACACCTGTGTGAAGGCGGTTCTTTCTGTTTCTCTCTGACTGAGCCCTCTTCAGATGGCTGTGACGCTCATTCTTTTCTGCAACATTAATTAGTTTTCATGTGTTTACATCATCTGAACAGTGAGAATACTCTGACTCACCTCCTGTGAATACTGTCCAGAAAGAGCATTACCTCAGTGTTTTCATTTTCGATCATGTTAGATGAGGTAAGCTGTGCTTGTGCATCATACTGCACACAAGGTTAGATCAGTCAACACACACACACTTACCCTCCCACGTACTATTGCATGTAATGTTACTATATCTTGCATACACACATGCACACATGCACTTAATGTACACACACGCGCACACACAAAATCACATGCCGCTGCACTGCAGGAATGGAAGGAAAAGGAAAAGGGTAGATTTTCCACTGACTTCAGTCCCGGCCAATCACACAGCAGGTGACCTCAACTCCGCTCCAATCCAAACCATTCAGAGGTGGTGATGAGCTCACACTTCTTTGATGTCTGGGCCCTGATTGGCTGCTGTTCCGTGACACAGCCAGTGGAGCAGCCTGTGCTCTTCACATGGGAGCGTGTGTCATACACACAGAAGCAGGCAGCCAGCTCTGTTTGGACGCCGTTGACAGAAACATTTTTGCTGTCCTGGTGCTTTGGCATCTACCAAGCATCCGCACCATCATCAATTATTCACAACCTCAGCAGTGTGTCCTTCTATCCGAGTGTGTCTGTGTGAGCGTGTGCTCACATGTCAGTGTGTGTGTGGCACTTTGTGTGGTCACGATATGCTTTCATCGGATCTTTGGGGTGCCACATGCCACCGCCGCTCATCTCTCAGAATCTGCTTTCCCTCTCTGCTTCCTGGGACATGGGACCGTTTCCGTGGATATTCACAAGACAGGGTGATGATGCTTCCTTTATGGACTGTGAAGAGCTGAATTACCTTCAGGTTGAGGACTTCTACGGGCCAGAGCTGAGAATTGTTTTTCTTTCACAATCTGCGTAGATCTTTCGTCATCAGAACAGTGTTTTGTGTTACAGACCTGCACCTTTTCTCTTTCTGGATTTCATTTGTTGTTTCATCAAAATGCCTGAAGCAAATTATTTGCTGTCTGTGTCTTGGGGATATATAAAGGTAAGATAAGGTCTTGGATCTGTGAATTTTAACTACTTATTTGATGTTTTTTTTTAATCTATTTAGATTAATTTCTAGAGTTTCTTTGTTTGCTTTTATTTTGGAACTGGGTTTTGTCATCGGCACAGAGACGGATGAAAGGTTTGATAGAAGGCACATTTAGTTCCTCGCCAACATGTCGCCCATGAAAAAAAAAGCTTCTGAGCTGTATCATTTCTGAATCCATCTATTTTGAGGTTTCTTTTTATGGGGAGAATTGATGCTGCTTGCATTGTACTTAGAAAGATAAAGACAAAGGCTGGAGAAGATGGACTGAAGAAAAAGAAACACAGTTAGTTTTTTTTAAGCGAACACAGAGATGTTTTTAGTCCACTCTTGCGTTCTTAAATAGTTGATTGACATTTCAGATTTCCTAAACCACAGGGACTCTTAAAGAGTTCTGTGATGTCTTTTCAGGTCGGCAATTGTAGTCGCTGTTGTTCCATGTTTCTTGATGTACCAATGGTTTTTTTTTTTTAGTGGACATGGTTAACCACAAAAACAGCCCTGACATAACAATTCCTTTAATTCCTTAAAATGATTGCGATGATCTTCAGTGTTATTTTTTGGTTGTTGATTTTATACATTTTATTGAGGTTACATTTTTGTACATAGTAAAGATGAAACAGAGTTGTTTGAACAATGAGCCCTCACCTGTGTCTCACGTTCTGCTGGATTATCATACAGAAGAAAATTATTCTTTTAATAATAACGTGTGAAGTTCATAAAACTCTTCATAAAGGACTTGTATCTGTATCTTCTCTACTCTTTAGGTTCTGTACTTAAAAGCAAACAGCAGATGGTCCTTTGCCTCTTCTGTCTTCATTTTAAAAGCCACCCAGTGAATACCCGTGGGTGTTATTGAATAGGCTGTCAGCACACAATTGCGCAGTAAGCACTCAGCGGGGCTATAATGGTATATTCTAAGTGATCACTATTGAGTCCTATAATAAATCAATAAACGTACATTATACAACTGGGCCAGTGCCTGAAACATTCAGTCCGGACAGCCGCTTTTGTTTTCCTTGTTGTTTTGCAATCCGTTTAGTAACTCTGTTGTTTTGTGACGACTATGGAAAATACCTGATTTCAAGGGTCCTCCTTCTCATCAATCAATTTCAAATCAGAAGCCGGGGCTAAATTTGGGGGCCGCCACTCCAATTAAGCACAAGAGAGAGAGCAGAGAAAACAGGGTGGGGGAGACGCAGAGAGGAGCAGGCAGTGAATAAAAAAATGAAAACAATTTTTTTGTTTTTTTTTTAAACTAGGAAAATGGGTTACTGATTACGTACGTCTCTCTGGCACTAACCCTTTGACCCACTCTGTGTGTGTGTGTGTGTGTTTGTGTGGAAATGTGAAATGTGTGTTTTAACCCAGAAACGGGGACATTCATGGGTACAGCTCCATTGATGTGACGGGAAATTGTAGAAAAAACTCCAGCCATGAGGAGGATCTATGATGTTAGAATTTCGTCATGAAAATGTGTTTTTATTGCATATATGTTTAAGTTTTTTTTGTTTAGGTTCTTTTCCTGCAGCGGACTAATAAATATTGAGAGATCGTTTCTAGTCCAATGGGCAACTCTGAATAGTTCCTTCAGCCACTACATTGTGTTTGCAGTTCTCTGTGCATTACTGAGCTGCTGTTTTATGTAAATAATAATAAAATAAAATTGATATCTCTGAAATAAATGTGTTAATAGAACAGATGTTTTCATATCCGACTCTGAAACCACTCATATCTCTGTGTGTTTGTCCTCCTTTCAGTTCAAGAGGATGTTGAACCGGGAGCTGACTCACCTATCAGAGATGAGCCGCTCGGGGAACCAGGTGTCTGAGTTCATCTCCAGCACATTCCTAGGTGAGTGATGAAGGAGATGATAGACTCACTGGTTTGGAAAAAATACAAAATCTCTGACCTGCCTGAAAAGTACCACACTAAAAAAAAAAATCACAGTGAGTCTGTGGTAACACACATGCAGTACACGGCATTTAAAGGAACCAGTGTTTGAACTGCGAGAGCTGTTTACAGGTTTACAGTTTAATTTCCTTCATGTGATAGAGTGGTGGTATAGCCGTGAGCTGAAATATGAACCAAATGCTGCTTTAAACACAGGATATCAGTGAGTCTACAGGTTATTTAAGAACACCTGAATTGTCTATCAGAGAGGGAAAGGTATTTTAACATACCTAATATTGTCGCCTGTCTCATAGTGTTGATATTTGATTTATAAACAATGAGATGCCCTTCACAGATTTTCCTGACATTTTGACTCACCATGTCCCCTTCTTTATGACTCCTCATGGTCGAAAAGAAGTTGAAGGACTAAAAAAAAGAGGAGGAATAAGGCGGGATAATGTCGGACAGTAGTGACAGGAAGATGAAGTGTAGTAAGAGACGGACATGACACCAGACTGCAGTGAATAAAAACATTGCTCCTACATTTAACCATTTATATCCTACTGTCGCTGTTTTCTTTCTTGTTTGCTTGATTTTCTTAGAGAAATGATTCCCCTGATATATTATATTATATTTTTATGTACATATATTCAATTAAAGTAAGTGGTAAAATCATCATTTAACCCAACATAACAATGCTTTAAATAGCTTAACTTCTGAACTTTAACCGTTGCACTCAGCTCGTTTGGCCATGATTGTCTGGCTCGCACAGTTTTCCCATTCTTCCTGTTGCTGCGTTTTGTTTTGTTGTCTCCACTCTTGTCTTCTATAAGGCCTCAGGTTTTTCTGTTTGGTTGTTTTTAAAGACTAAGACTCTGGGAACTGTACACCAGTTTGTCGCGCTAACCACCACTCAGCAGCTTTTGGGCATTTTTTGCCATTTACTTGCAGATAGAAGTGATGTGAAATGTTTCACATTATAAAGACAAAGGATAACCTTCAATTGTTTATGTGGGCAGGACTTGGGTGCTCTGTCTTTATCAAATAGACACAAAATAAATGATATAATGTCAGACTCAAACATCTCCATGTTAACCTCCCCTTTGTGGTTTTTCCCCTGCGTCCGTGCAGACAAGCAGCATGAAGTGGAGATGCCGTCCCCACAGACGCAGAAGGAGAAGGGGGAGAAGAAGAACAAGCCCATGTCTCAGATCAGCGGGGTGAAAAAGCTGCAACACTCCTCCAGCCTCACAAACTCCAACATCCCTCGCTTCGGAGTCAAGACGGAGACTGAGGATGAACTCGCTAAGGTGTGTTTGTTGTGCCCTGGGAATCTTTACACAGAGACTGCAGCAGCTGTGAACACTATCTGACAAGTCCTTATGGTATGGACGTAGAACAATAATGTTCCTTTTCTTACTGTGTCTTTAATTCCTTTTTTTCAGGAGCTGGAGCATGTGAATAAATGGGGCCTTAATGTTTTTAAAATCTCAGAGTTTTCTGGGAATCGGCCACTAACAGTCATGATGTACACGATATTCCAGGTAGGCGACCACTTCTCTTCTTGATCTGAATCTTCCACTGCAAAGAAAAGCTGCCTCCTTTAACTTAGATTCCCTCTCTTGTGTTTGTCCCTCGTGTGCAGGAGAGAGACTTGTTAAAAACATTTAAGATTCCACTCGACACCTTTATAACATACCTGATGACCTTAGAAGACCATTATCACGGAGATGTGGCCTACCATAACAACATCCATGCTGCTGACGTCACCCAGTCAACTCACGTGCTGCTATCCACCCCCGCCCTGGAGGTGAGGCGCCCACACACACACACACACACACACACACACACACACACAGCACATGAACACACACACGGCACATGAACACACACATGCACAGACATGGAGGACGTTTTCGCACACACGCACCGCACGCTTCTACAATCAGCTTCAATCAAACTCGTGCTCAAACTCCAATCAATGCCTCTGACTTGCAGGGATATTTTCGTCCAATGATTTGATTGGCTCATCACCTCCCTCCTTCCCTCCCTCTCTCTACCTTCTCTACCTTCTCTTCTTTTTTTTCTTCCAGGCTGTGTTCACAGACCTCGAGATCCTAGCTGCCATCTTTGCCAGTGCAATTCACGACGTGGACCATCCTGGAGTCTCCAACCAGTTCCTCATCAACACCAGTGAGTCTAAAAAGAGCGCCGTGTTAGCGGCTACGTCAGTGCCTCAGCAGTGTCATTCGCAAACATGAACACACACTCACAGCCTGATAACCAGGTGGGAACACACACACACACACACACACACACACACACTGGAACCTCTACTTCACAAACATGCAACAAGATAATTATGCAAAGACTTTATTCGTCTCACATAAATTCATGTTCTTGTATGAACCAAACTGTGGTGCATCATTTCAGCACCTTGATTTCTTTACCAGAACTGGTGCTCATTTAGAGACACAAAGTGGAGGCACACGTGCATGTTATCACCTGCATGTGCCGGTTTAGTCGGGTGTGTAGGCTTAGACATGTGATTCCAGGGCTGAGGAGTTCAAAGAAGAGATCAATATTTTTCTGAATGATGCCCTTTTCCTTTAAAAACACATTTTCAAGCTAACATGCTCTCAGAATAAAAAACATAAACAACTACTTTGTTAATATATTGATCCAACAGGCCGAACTGTACGAGGAAAACTTCTGTTTTCACGTGGAACGAAGGCTGTTTTAGGGTAACAACTAGATGAGAGATCAAACACAAATCACAGAAATGTTAAATGATGTTAAATCATTTTGATGTTTGACCTTCAGTGACATCCTCCTGCCGATTTCTACTCCCTCACAACAGAAGCTTTTCAGATAGTCAGACAGAGAGTTGCTTTTAAATCATCAACATTTAGCTATGTCCTGTTTAATTTGAGTTCTGATGTTAGTCTTAAATATATGTTGCAGGAAGAGTTGATAATAACCAGGTTGGTCATTGTGTGGCAAACTCTGTGATGTCATCTGCCTTGCTTTGCTCATGAAGATGACATCACAAACCTTAGCCCCCTTTTCCTACGAAACGTTGATTGGCTCAGATCATTTTCTGACAGGAAATGCCTTAGTGAACGTCACATAGTTAACATAGTGCTTTGAATAAAAAGGTCTAGAAAGAGGCTGCTGTACAATGTAAGCTGGTAACGTTTATCTGTGGTCTTCACTGCACCTTTTTTTAAGCCAACAATAAAATATCTCTCCAAGTGTATTTCTGAGACTTATAGGAGCAACAGTATATATTCTGGAATGTTATTTTTATGCACACAAGAAATATAATTGTATTGATTTCACATCGTTATGTGACTGCAAAAAAACCACAAGACAAATACATTGAGGTTTTGGAGAACTGAGGTGTTTTCACACTTAGATTTCTGACAATATGCGGGCCAGGGCTGCATGTGGAAACACAAACAACTTTACCAGGATCTATCTTCTTGGATTTCAACAATTACTTTTTGCTTTAAAACTTCACGCTGTGAGGGACATGTGAACATAAGCAACTCGGGACATCTTCAGAGGCAAGTTGTCCTGAAAAAAAACCAGCTTTAGAAGCAACTGTGGGAAAAGTCTGGATGCCACTGTGGACACTGTAGACATTGAGTGGACTGAGCCTTTAACTGGACTAACTGGGATCATGTGTTTGTTACTGAAGTGTCCTCAGGCGAGCCACTGAACCTCTGCTGTCTCTCTGCTGTAACTGACTCACTCGCTCATGGCTGGAGGTTCCACAAATATCGCCTTGACTTTGCAATATCGAGGAGAACACAAACAAAGTTAATATCCGCTGGGCATCACTTTAAACGGCAATTCTTTAGACCATTACAACCAGGAGTGTTACGTAAGGTATTACGAAACCTTTATCAGAACCGACAAGACACCGTGCAGTCTAGACGTGAAATGCACCAAAAGTGTTGTGCTTCCCATATGCCCAAATGGGGAATCCCTGCAGAGGAGGCAGTGTGAGTCATCATGTCAGGAGCCAGCAGAATGATCTTCTGTCAGCCACAGAGCGACAGAGCAGGATCCCCTTTCTCCCCTCTGCTGCGCGCCTCCTCTGAGGCCAAGACTAATGCATCCTAATGGAAAATCTAAATACAGATAGAGGACCTTCAGATGACCTCGAGAAGGAAACACGCGGGTACTTTCTTCTGCCAATCACTAAGCAGTAGATGGATGATAGATGTGAATACAGCACTTTAACATTTGGGAGCGCTTGTTCGCTGTTTATTTAGCACCTTCTGTTTAGGAGATGAACCCTTATGCATATGAAATATCTTACAAAGTAACCTTTATTACTCCTGACCCGTTTTCACCGCGTGCACTGTTTTAAAACCACCAACAAAACACACTTCTACACACTTTGATAATGAGTGATGTCCTTTGTTGCAGATTCAGAGCTAGCGCTGATGTACAATGACTCGTCGGTGCTGGAAAACCACCATCTAGCAGTCGGATTCAAGCTCCTACAAGAAGAGAACTGTGACATCTTCCAAAACCTGACCAAAAAACAAAGACAATCACTGCGAAAGATGGTTATTGACATCGTAAGTGGAAAGATGAACATTCATCTTTTTTCTACAACAACTGAGTTAGCTCTCGAGCAGGGAAATACACTATATATTTAAATGACTGCAGTCTGGAGATGAACAGTTTGTTGTTTGTATTTCCAGGTACTAGCAACAGACATGTCCAAGCACATGAATCTCCTGGCTGATCTGAAAACGATGGTGGAAACCAAGAAGGTGACCAGCTCTGGGGTCTTGCTGTTGGACAACTACTCCGACAGAATACAGGTCAGAAAACAAGCTGCTGAACACCAACAACAACCTCCAGATCACTGTCATACTTATTCAATTAGTGACCAGTCTTGAAAAGTGGATGTAGCCTCTTGGTCTCAAAAGGAAAACGAATGCCAATGTGTCTTAAACCGGCCTTCTTTCTGATGGCCAGCAGGGGGCAGCTTCACTGTTAAAAAGTAGACTATGTAAACAGATGAGAAAAATAATTTATTTCAAAGTATTTATTACCTCAGCAAACATGTTCCCAAAGACTTTGGGTTCTCATTTACTAGTTTCAAGTCTTCTTCAATACAGCATGATAATTTACATTTTGTAAATGATGGTTCAATTCAGGGTACATTTAACAATAAAACAGGGTATGCTGAAGGACTTAGCTAACTATGATTAAAAACTGCTACCATAGCAGCCTGTCCATCAAGATAGAGACTTGAGAATGCTTTTGTTGATGTACCGGTAAGTATTGTCTCTCCTGCCTCCAAAGTCAGAACAAGGAATTACCAAACCAAAGACTCTGAAATGATGGTTCTTTGACAAACGGTCAACATGTAGCTGCTATATTTTATCTTAAACTTTGGTTACTTTTCTCTTCACCATCAAAGTTAGGTTTGCAGTTGTTCCATCTCTGAAGCCACAGCACAAACTGACTTCACCTTTCTGGTCTAATACATCAATGTTATGCTCCTACCTGGAGTGCATCAGGGAACACGTGGCTCGACCTGGCACTGTGTTTCAAACCCTGTTATTTGTTAATTCCAGGTCCTCCAGAACATGGTGCATTGTGCAGACTTGAGCAACCCCACGAAGCCTCTCCAGCTGTACCGGCAGTGGACGGATCGCATCATGGAGGAGTTCTTCAGCCAGGGCGACCGAGAGAGGGAGCGAGGCATGGAGATCAGCCCGATGTGTGACAAACACAACGCCTCAGTAGAGAAGAGCCAGGTAGTGCTCACACACACACGTACTATACATGAGTAATAGTGCTTCTAGACACAAACTGAACAACTTGGTTTTCTCCTGTGCATCCTGCAGGTCGGTTTCATAGACTATATCGTTCACCCTCTGTGGGAGACGTGGGCTGACCTGGTCCACCCAGACGCCCAGGACATCCTGGACACGCTGGAGGACAACAGGGAGTGGTACCAAAGCACCATCCCCCAAAGCCCCTCTCCTACCCTGGACGAGCCTGAAGACAGCACTCGACCCCCAGGAGGGGACAAGTTCCAGTTTGAGCTCACCCTGGAGGAGGACGGGGAGTCAGACACTGAGAAAGACAGCGGTAGCCAGCCTGAGGAGGAAGAGGATGATGAGGAGGAGGAGGAGGAGGAGGAAAACAGCTGTACTGACACTAAAACACTCTGTACGCAGGACTCTGAATCCACTGAGATTCCTTTGGATGAACAGGTGGGGGAGGATGACGAGGATGAGGAGGAGGAGGAGGTGGTACCCGAGGAGGGGGAGACCCCCTGCTCGCAAACATGTGTGGTGGAGGAGGAGGTACCGGAGGAGGAGGAGGAAGAGGAAGAGAAAGAAAATAACCCCCACACATAGCAGTGTCTGGACAGCACCTGATGAACTTTTCTTCTTAGTAATGACAGATTATTTATAGAATATTTTTGGGGTTTTGTGGAGTTTGTGTTTTTTTATACATCTATGTTTATGGTTCCAAAGCGTGCGCTGCTCTCCACCGTGACCACTCCTCCTGTCAGCTTTCAGACACGCCCAGCGGTACTTTCTTCAAGTTTTTTTGCACTCAGGAAACCTCCTTTCCATTCCCGTTTGTACTGAAGTGGTGTGTCTTTATTTCACTTTTACACCTCTCCGTTATAAGCTTATGTTTATACATGGACGAGCAGCTCCCAGCCTGCTCAGTGCTGTTCATATCACACATGAAATCAATTCTACCCTCCCTCCGCTTCGTCTCAGCCTTGCCTGAAAGTTTAGCAGTGTTTCTTGTCTTTTTATCAAGTGCCCATACTCTACCCCAGAGACGGTTAATCGGTGGGTTCAAGGAGAATCCCCCTCTTGCTTAGGTCATCTCCTCACCACTGCGAATTCGGAGGCATTTAAAGCTGCCGTTCTGCCGAAAAAAAAAAAAACCTGACGGGACGGAGCAGAGATGAAAGCTGCAGCACACCCGGGGGGGGGGGGGGGGGGGCTTTTCGAGACACATTTCTGGTGTGGAAGTCTTCCTTGAAAAACCTGACTGATACAAAGCTCAAATCTACACAGCTGTGACGCTGTCCTAGACCTCTTTAATTTTTGTATTGTACTGTATGTAAGATTCAGATATTTTCTAGACTTTACTTTTGCTAATCCTAGGCTTTGTTTTGTTAGCGAAGAAGACGAGAGAACTTTTGGGGAACCAAGGGGGGCAAAATGAAACGTGTCTCCGATATTCAGTGTTGTGAAGGAGTATCTTCACGGCTGGATGACATTAGGAGTGTTCTGAGGTGTTTGCACTTGCACCTATAGCATTTAAACCACAATACCCATGCCACTACGCTCATATTTGGTTCATCCTGTGAGTTTCAAATTTGGACTTTATTCATGATAGCTATTATTTTTTGTGAAAGTTTTCACTGATAAGGAAGCAGGAACCTGAAGTCTTGTGCTTTACTCTAAAAGAAATAGTGATGTGGATGAAGCCTTTTGAATTTTATTCTGATCATAATTATTATTATTATTATTATTGTTGCCTGCAGTTCTTTTGAACACATCCTGAGACAATGCAAAGCTTTGTAGTTGATACAAAAAGCACCTTTTTTTTAAAAGCTTGATCATTGCTCTGAGTAAACAGAATTAGTAACAGTGAGGAAAAACTACCGGGGGGGAGGGGAGGGGGTGAATTGATACCAATGTTATAAAAAGCTTTTTATTGACCTTTCTTTTATACTTTGTGGCCATGTGTTGGACTCTCACATAAGCAGCAGCTACATTCATGCTTGTTTTTAGCCACTTCATGTTCTTTGTGACATTTTTACATCACAACATGGAACTCAGCAGCTGTTTTGTTTTTTGACAAGACAATCAGCTCCGTCACGTCGTCATCAGAGAACATTATCCTCTAGTTAGTAGTTCCTCTAATGCACTGATATATTCTTATATCACCACTTTTCATATTTGTTTTTATGTTTAAACTCGCCAAAAACACTCCTTCAAGAGCTTCTGAAGTGTCTTCTTTTTTCTCAGTGTTTCCTCACAACTCACTTGACACCTGATGCTATTATTTATTGCTATATTTTTCTATTCGTTGACTTGTTTTTTTTTTTTTTTTTGCAATATATAAAGGTGGTACAGTAAATATTTTCACTGTAGCATAAACCTCAGAACAGGCTTGCCAGTCACAATACCCAAATATCCCTTTTCCTCCCTCTCTGTGTACATACAACAAACACATACAAAAACAACATGTAAGAAAAAAAAAACAAGAAAAAAACTTGAAATACTGCACACTGCTTTTTTTACGAGTGCTTGTTTGAATAACGTGTCATTTCAGACCTTTTTATTTAATCTTTCATTTTTGTGCCAAGATTTTTATTTTTCTCTCTTGTCGTTTTCATCCTCACCCAATGCCCTTACCTGTAATAAAAGATTCTGGTTTTATCGCTGTTTACAAACATATATTTATTGTGCTGTATATAATATATAATTATTAATGTTATTACTATCATAATGCCGTTTGTTGTAAATGGTTGATTCTTATCATCCCTTTTGGTGATGGTGTGGCTGTATTACGTACCTCTTGTTGAGAGAATGTTTCTTACACATGAGCTTCGGTGTAAAAATGATCCATCGACACGTTTGCTTACCTGAGAACTAGCTCAGTGAAGAGAGAGGGGGAAAGCCAAATTGTTTTTTAAAAAGAAACTGTTCCTTGGCCCATGGGCTGTGCCTTAAATTCAACGCATGTCATTTACGTTTAGCCTTTTTTTTTTTTTTTTTCTATTTTGATTTTCTAGTTCTCTTTTGCTGCATTAGTGAATCTTTCTGTGGCTCGGCTCGGCCTGATCTCATGTTGTGAATTTGAACATGTTGCCTTTTTACTATCACAGCCAAACACAAATTGCTCTATTGATGGCACTGTAATTGATGTCGTCGCAGGGATTCAGGCCAGCCACGAGTCAGAGATTTACTACTTGAGTGATGTGTGGCCTATAGCCGGATGTCCAAGAGTCCAAATTGCTGTAGACCTGGCGTGCACAACGTCCACATTCCTTACGCCCTGGATATACACTCAAAGATGTGACACGGCCCGTCGGATTTAAAAGATGCTGGAGAAACTTTGCCGCCTGTGCAAGAGTTCCTGCGGTGTGTTCTGCATCCACGAGGTCCGATCGCGTCTCCAAACACTGAACAGGATGCCACAGGAGTGTGTAGTTGCTGCTCGACCTCGGTCTACGACGCACAGAGGCTTTGAGACACATCTGCATGTTCAGCCACTGCTGCATTAATTATGGCTGAAACACTGACAGTGTGTTGCTTATCTATGCTCGGCCCACACTTCCACTCTCATTACTTGCAATATCCAAAACCACTGACATTTTTCTGCCTGGAGAGGATGAGGGTTTAGTATATTCCTTTAGTGAAGGGGGGCGGGCGGGGGGGAGGGGGTGGGTTGGCTAGGGGTTTGGGTGAGTGCATCATTGTCCCCCAAACAGGGACTCTTGTTTTGACACACATACTGTAGATTCTAAACAGCCCTGGACCAATGGAAACAGTGGGTTCTTTTCTCATTCTGTGTTCTATTTTTATGGTATGAAAGGAAAAACACAAACTGTAACTTTAAAAAAAGGTCTTCAGGACAATTATTTTTTGGGGTTATGTCTTTAGAATGCCAACTTGTCTGGAAGTTTCACAAGACAATTAAAATGTTATTTTAATGGATTCCTTGTTAATTGCAGTCTATTGGATAGCACTGTAGATCATACAACTTTGTGTAGAAAAATGAAAAAAAAAATGATGAAAAAAAACGTTTTTATATGCAATGGATTAAATAAAAGCATGGGTTGATTCTGCCTACCCGTTGGTGATTTGTGGTCATTTTTCCAACTCTTGTATGTGACTGTTTTTCTGGTTTACTGATGAAGGAGGAGACTGTGAGTATATATATTTTTTTCTATATTTGTCTTAACAGAAACGCCCCACTGCTCATTTGGCTGTGAGATGTGTCTCACACCTTCACCAGATGGTCCGCTCTGTTTATTTTTGTCTGTAGCATCATTCAGAGATTTAAATTTATATACCTATCAGAAGATCAACTTCATTCTTTACTTCAGTTTGTCACACACCTCGGCTAACATAATCTACAACCTGCAGTTTCACATGGTGATGACGTCTTCTGTCCATCATGGCTTTAAAGCATGAACTGTAAATCCAGCTCTGTCGTCCTTTAACACTGAACAGCAATCCTTGAAATCATTTTTTTTGTAAAAATATTTTTCACAAATTAGAATAAGTTTGTATATAAATCTGGTACAGTTGTGTGTATGAAATAGTTTACTTAAAGGTGCACTATGTAGTTTTGGTAGAGACATTTGCAAGTTGTAGAAGTGTACAGATTCTGTGGTATATGTTCATAACTCTAAACACAAACTGTCCTCAGAGGAAAATTTGGTCCCTGTAACACTGAAGATAAAATGCAATGCGAGGAGTTCTGGTGGGGGCCCACAACAGTGAAAGCGTAACTCTCCTGGTAGCTTTTATGCTCAAAACAGTGTTCCAGGGACCCATTGTTTCTTTGAGTAAAGTTTGTGTATTTAGTTCAGAAAATATAGAATTGTTTCACTTCTCCACTACCTTTTAAATAGAGGCAGAGGAGCTATGCATCAACCTGAATTGACTTCAGGTCCCCTACACTAGTGTGACCTTTTTACACAATATATCCATATATCAAGGTCCTACAATGTAACTCTGGGAAAACGTAAGCAGCTGAACTTTCAAGCATCAAAAGGTGAAGTCCACTCATCGAGATTTTTAAACGCAGTCTTAAAACTCATTTATTCAGTCTGGCTTTTATATAGTGTTTTATATCAATTCAAATCTTAACATTTCTGTATTGTCTTTTTTATCCTACTATAATTTTATATTTTCCTCTTATGTATTTATTTTAATGTCTTGTTGCTTTTATGTGTCGTATTTTGTTGTATTTTCTTTTTATACATATATTTTCTTTTTAATTCTTATTGGTGTGCATTAGTCTCTCAATGATTTTATCAATGATTTTATAAACTACTTTTCGTCAATAACTTTTCTGCACTCTTGTTAAGCACTTCGAACTGCAATTTAATTTGTCTGAAAGGTGCTATATGAATAAAGTTTGATTGATTGATTGATCATGATGTTCCTTTTTAATGTTATACAGCATGATTAAATATCAGATTTGTTTTACGGATCCGTAACTGATTAAGCAGCATTTCCAAGTCTTAGCTGGTTAATGGGCTTTACTTGTACAGCAATTTTCTAGTCTTTGGACAACTTTGTGTTAAATGTCTTCCTCAAGGAGAGTACCACATGTGGACTGAAGGAGCTGAGGATCGAAACCCCCCCCCAACTTACTGACGGAGAGATGACCGACTCTACCCCTGATCCACAGCTGCATGGTTCTATGTGGTCGTATGTAAGTTAACACGAGTTATTTAAAAATAATCAAAACTGATTTAACTTAGCTTTTATAAGAGGGGGCTGAGTTAGAAAATCCAAATCGGTATTAAGTATCAAACAACTGAAACACTAGTACTTGAATGCAGCTGTGAAGGGAGGCTGTCGACAGTTTTTACAGCTATTATTTGGCAGTTTAAATCATAGCACTTTACTCACAACCTAGGGAGGAACAATGGGCAGCAGAGATTTTATCTTGTTTATTCATTTATTTAATTTGGAGGGGGGTTGACATGTGTATGAATTTTGATTGGTGTCTTGATATTATTGTTTTTTTGATTGTTTTTGTTTGGATAGTCTGCTTTACATACACTCTATTACAAGCAATTTACCTTCTTATTTATCACATCGGTGTTTCAAATTTGGAAAACTAAAGTATAAAAAGCTGTGGAAGGGAGACAGGTAGTAAAGTTGTCACGTGTCATGTATCATTGCAAACATGCAGTTATTTGATTAATTAACCTGTCGAATAAACACATACAGTATGTCCCCCCCTGAAATTCTGTTTAAAAATAACAAATGCATCAGCTGCTTATGAAAAAATGTCAGTCGATACTAAAAAGCCGCTTGTTCAGATCATGATACAATGGTGCAGTTGCAGTGCTCAACACTGGGTGGCGCACACAGTCCAGTAATGAAGCAAGGCGTCTGCTGCGTCAACCGCACAGCGCTAAAAAGTACACATACAGCAGAATCACGTCTGCAGAGAGAGAGAGAGACACAGAGACCCAGTGATAGAATTTGATTTATTTCCTATAATCTCAAAAACATATTTCTTACTTTGCTTGCACTCCAAGAAACAAATATATTCCGTTATATTTAAAGTCGTACTGATCTAGAATGAGAGTGACCCAGAGTAACTTTTTTTTGGGCACCAAATTGCCACATAATTATTCCTCTATTAAATGAATCTTGGCTGGAGACCAGTGCAATGACTCATTTCATGGCTATTAGCATTTAAATGATGTATCACACACATACACAGATGCACACGCACGGGGCACGTGTACTGTACACACAGATGCACATGGGGCTTGTAAGTGTATCCTTTTTCTTGGTGTTACAACAGTATGGCATATGGCATGGACTAAGTTTACCTCCCTGACTATCGCTCACAATAACACTGCATTTGGACATGAAAACACAACTTTAACCAACACTCAACACTTAGCAGAACAGCATATAGTACGTGAATATATTTGTACAAAAGGTATACACAAACAATACACTATATCACGTCATTTGTCTGGTCAATATGGCAGGTACACACACACACACACACACACACACACACACACACACACACACACACACACACACACACACACACACACACACACACACACACACACACACACACACACACAGTCTCACATTCAGTGGCTGCAGTTACACAACAACACACACACTCTTTTTTTTTCTCCAGATTGTACATCAGCCATTCTGACCAAACTGTCACTCAAACAGCAGAGGACAGGAGAAACTATGTACAGGGTTTCATTCATAAAATATTGCACTTATTGGCCCATTGCATCTCACAGCAAGTGCTGTGACAACGCTTCTAAATCTGTAACACAGAGTGATATATATATTTATAGATATATACATCTTATTATAGAAATCTACATGGATAAGTCAGGGCTGGCTTCATGCAATGTTCGGGGGGGGGGGGGGTTTATTCGACTATGCAACAAACAACCAACAATGCTAAAGGAACTATGATGTTTTGGCACAAATGTTGTTTTTTTTTTCTACATGAGTTGCACAACTGAAAGGCATTCTGGATTTTAAAAGAAGCTACAACTTTTATACTTTATTTTGACTCATTATTATGAGCTCCACTGTGTTTATGCCAGCTTGGAGAAGCTCCCATTTCCAACTGAACGTCTGAAATGTTTTTTCTTTAAGTAGGGATAAACTTTCATCACATAAACATGACATTTAGCATGCGGACTCAAAAGTTAAGCAATGTGATTAATATATGGCTGTTTATTCCATGCCAGAGCTGATCAGTAGTTTATTATTATACACTCTTCTGTGCCTTACCAGTGTGAGACTCTTATTTAAAGAAATGTTGGATAGTCACTGTCATAGTTAGATTCTATCTGAAGACAAAACAGTACATATGATTGAGTTTTCCTAAGCATGCTCATCGCATCAAACTATAAAGGGTCATCTTAGAGGCGAAGCACATAGAAATATTTGCTTTGAAGATTCACAGATACACTAATCGAGAAATCACACTTCTACAGACGGCAAACTGTGGAGTACTACTCACATCAACATTATAACATACTGGATTCATTCCCAAAGAAAGCATGACAGAGGAACCTACAGAGGCCGTGTTGGAGATGCTAAAAGGCCACTTTTTTTATCCAAGGTAGAAGATTTTTTTTTTTTTAATAATAATGACAAAAAAGTTACACTCAGACTTCAAACTCATGCACTCACACACTGCACAGACGCACACAACAGCCACACACTCAGGACACAAAAGAAAGCCGCTACATCCTTTAGTGCACAAAATCATAGATTTGGCAGCTTTAGGAGATAAAGTAATCCTATAAAAGTAAAATACATACTGTACAAAAAATAATAACTATTAAAGCACTCACTCTGTCCCTCATTTTATTAGTATTCTAGATCTTAAAGATTCTCAAGGTCTAAATGTTTCTCTGTACACCTGATTATGGCCTTATCGGTCACACTCAGATTATAACTGTACTAACTAGCTGAAGAATGAGAATATGGTGTCTCTATAATGTAGATATCCTGTAGTGTTACACATCTGACACAGCTATCACTGTTTGTCTGGTTATTTGCTCTGGATATAAGGTGATAAAATTGAGAGATAATACGACAGCATTTTGTAATTCTACTACTAAACTGGGTTTGAACTGTAGTCCAGAGGAAGCAGCACTAGCAGGAGTGATAACGCTGAGGGAGAAACAAAAAACTCTGCACGCTCTGACACCTTACAGGACCTGCACTGCCCTCCCTTTGGCTCCCCCCCCCCCCCCACGTCGCTCACTAACAGTTGCATCCGGGCTGCTGCAGTGGCGGAGCGCTGTCTGTGAGTTTGGCAGTGGGGGCTCCCGTAGTGACGGCCGGATCGCTGTCCAAGCTCTCGGACATCTTGTCGCAAATGAGGTCGACGAGGCGTTCAAAGGTCTGCTTGACGTTGACGTTGTCCTTGGCGCTGGTCTCGAAGAATTCGAAACCTTGGGAGGAGATAGAGCGAGTAGAAACACGAAAGAAAAAAAAGGCAAGAATGGTTTAACTGTATGTCATAGAGGGAGGGTGGAGATTATGGACCATCATAAAGGGGAAGGATAATCGAATAAAAGCAAGAAAAGAAGGACAAGCACCCACTCGTACTGAAAAGCACAAAAAGTGAAATAGTCTAAAAAGTTCAACCATGATAGTTTGTCCCTTAATGCCATGAAAGTTTAATGCCTAAAAGTCTTTGTTTGACTTTTAAACTTTGACTATTAAATGTTAGACGGTTTTGTGGTAAGAGTGTGAATGCTTGTCCTCTATTTCTCCTGCGTCTTCATAACATCAGTGTTATGAAGACACAAGCCATTACAGATAACATACATGGGGTGAATGTCTTCGTAAGACTCACCCAACTGTTCTGCCAGCAGTCTGCCACTATCCACTGACACCACTCTCTCTTCGTCCATGTCACACTTATTTCCAGCCAGCACCACTTGTGCATTATCCCATGAGTAGGTCTTTATCTGGGTTGACCTGCACACGATCACAAACAAAAAAAACAAGAACACTCACCGTCAAATGGGTGCTGGTTGCTGCCTTAAAGAAATAAAGATTCATTTGAATGTTTGTTTTTTTGTGCAACTTTGATTGGATGGGAAATGAAGACAAAAGATGGCAGAGAAGAAGGCCATGCAGTAAAGTGTGTCGCCCATTTGGACCGGTCATGAACATGTCACTGCGTCATCTTGTGTTTGGCATCATGTCATGTTTGAGTCAGTGATGGATGCAGAGAAAAAGTGGGTCAACTGCTTTGTACTGAAGATGTAGGTTAATATCTACAGTTCCTCTTGGTCTGCTGCTTTATTGAAGTGTTTAAAATGCAAAATTAAGTTTAATTCAGTCATTAAGGACTGAGTTACTTTTACCTGTCATCAAACATAAAGAGACGCATTAATCACTAAAACCTCTATTTATACTCTGGAGATCACTAAGAAGCAAACCTCATATATATATTGATATCGAGGCAAGTACAGAAGCAATAAAAAAGACACAAACAAAGCACATTTTTAAAACCACAAGGACGGTGATTTAAAGTCTTTAAAAATCCAAATGGGAGATACTCTGACATAGAAGTTAAAAGAAGTAAAATGTAACATAAAAATATGGTTATGATCAAAAAAGTACAAACTGTGGACCCCTCCCTCCTCTACCTGGCTCTGTGTTTCCTGGATGGGCGGAGCTTCAGAGCCAATAAGGGCAGCCAGCTCACCTGCTGCAAACTCTTTGGGAACAATGGAGCAGGCTGACTTCATGCCTCATCACTCCTGATAGTTTTTATCATCTTATCTTTGTTTGAGAAACGTAAGTAGAATTTAATTAGTTCATGCTTCATTTGCTCTACTGATTTACTCTGTTTTCATTAAGTCATGTCTTTCATCTTTAATCCTGCATTTGCATTTATTTTTATGATGAGAATTAACTTTTGTTACATCTGATTTGTGACTTGGATTATGATGTCGAGATGGATTACCTTTGTTAATCTTTTTGCGTTGTCAGAAAACCAGTTGAAACTATAGAAGATAAAAGATTGGACTGGAAACTCTCTACCTGTTCTCCTTTGTCCTTACCGACAAACCATTGAGCTTGAATTGTTTCTTGAACTGGGTGTTCCCTGCTGCAGAAATAGTATTCCTTACTCTCAAAAATTAATCAAAACAATTACAAAAAGAAGTTAAAAGGTTTAAAATGTCCAACAGGTAAAGGTGCATTTAAGTCAAAGAGCTGCAGTGACTTGTTTTAACTTTCAGAATCTTAATGCACAGAGATAAACGGAGTGGAGAAACCCAGACAGCAGAGAAAAAAACAGAGAATGAGAGAAAAGAGGGATGAGAAAAACTCTGAAGGAGAGCGCATTTAAATGCAGGAAAATACTAAAACTAAAACATGTTTAACATTCCTGCAATCAGCATGACGATACATTATACGTTTCCTTCCTGAGTTGGTTCTGTGTTTTAAAATACTAATAAACAACAACAATAAATTGAGCAGTAAAAGATGTAAAGCAGATTGAATGTGTAGCAGTCAAGCTAAAAAAAAAAAAAAATCAAACCAATGTGCGCCATGGTCTATGTTTGGTCATCACATGTTACTTGTGGTTATTTTTTAATATTTCATATTGATATTTGTCACAGCCTATTTTTAGCCCTTTCCCTTTAGAAGGTATCTTCAGCTGCTGCTAACCAGCGAGCTAAAAATGTATCACAGGGTGTTAGCCATGGTCTCCCACAAGACGTTTACAGTTATTAACGTCTCAATACACAGAAGAAGTGCCCCCGTGGATCATTGTTTGAGCTCTGTGTCTTTATCCCTACAGCCATCATTTAAGCTAGCCTGTGTTGGATCACTGGAGCCATTAAAGTCAGAGAGTAGGCTTAATACATGAGTGAGCAGAAGCAGGAACATGTCCTTTCTTTAAATTCACAGCTCTATGGGTTACAAGTTTGTTTTGTACTAGGATAAAACTTATTGATTAGTTATTGGAAACTTCAAATGAGAAAGACTATTTGTAATGGGTTTATCATATTTATGTTTCAGACGGGACAATCTGATATTATATGTTGATTTAGATGTTGCCTGAAACATAAATACTGTTCTACTCATAGGAAATCATTTTCATGTCACATGTTCTGCATGACAACAGCTTTAACCTTCACATTTACTGCACAGGAAAGTTACTGCCCATCAGAGAGGATGGTGCCTGCGCTGCTCCAACCTCCAAACATATATCGAGAGGGATTTTAGGGAACAAAAATATCTCCTGTGGTGTTTGACTAAAAGTAGGGCAGCTTACATACCACAGGCTGAACACGGTAGAGAGAGAGAGAGAGCCGGTAAGAAAGAAAGGAAGAAACAATGATTCAAGAGGAGAGAGCGAGCGCAGCATGATGCTGGCACTCGTCCTCCTCTCTCTCTGTCCAGTTCTGACTTGTTGTAGTGGTTCATATGTGGGTCAGTTTGAATCCAATGTTCACTGACAAAAAGACAACCGTGTTTGTATCTCGTCCACCAGCGTAACAAATGTAGTGTTTCAGGGTCTCCATGATTTCTAAACAATTTGGCCTCATGGCAATAAATGAAACGCATAATTATGTAATGTCCTCTTTGAGTTGCTGCAGTAAAATGTTTTCTGCAAAGATTTATTTTCAAAACTCACAGTCCCACATTTTGTGTCAGCATTTCAATATTTCTCCATCCTGTCTCTGTCACAGGCAGGAAATGAGCACGTCACAGGCTTAATTCAGCCACAGTCGGGGAAGGAGCCATTGCCATGGCAACCACCTCTTTTTTTTTTCTACAACCTTGTCACAAGGAACAAGGGAAAGAGAAAGTGGGATTTAAGCCTGTGGCAAAGGCAGAAAAGGAAGATATCTGTTTATGTGCCAGTTAAAAAAAAAAAAAAGAAGCACTCTCTTCTCTTGTTGTTCTGATCCGTGCTCTGTCTGGTAGGTAAACTCACAGGTAAGTCCTCAGGATAGTCTCTGCCAGTGACACACTTTGGTCGATTCATTACCAAACCCCTCACAGACAGTGCTCAGACTGCAGTCGTCCATCAAAGTGTCAGACAGGCTGTAAAAGAATAATAGGTGTGTCTGGCTCCGACCTCTCTTTACAAGAAAGCCTGGTTTCTCTAGTGGGTCATTTATTTCAGTACGAGTCAGGCTGATAGAGGAGCATTTTAACACAAGGCATGCTTTACATTTTAACAATAGCTCAGCTAATAACTATAAATGTGTTTTCACTCAGGCTAAAGGCAGCTGCTTTCACCATGACAGCTGCTGCTAAAGGAGCTGTCAACTGCTGCTAGCTAAAAGATAAGGGCCAAGCAGACACTGGCCTTAATAGAGATTGTCACAGTGCTAAAGAGGGCATGTAGGTGATATGTCAACTGCAAAAATACCACCATCTATAGCAAGTCAGTGTGAGTCCTATCATCATTTCCTTGCAGCTGACGCAAAAGTAACATCAAGGGAATGAAAAGCCTGATGATTCAGAAGTCTTTCTCTCGTTCTGCGCTCTGTAATCTCTGCAGGCTGGCAGAGAGAGATAACCGCAGGACAGCGGGGTGTAAATAAAATGTAAGATGACAGTTTCTCACCACAACATCTGCACAGAGTCGGGTGTGAGGAGGAATAAAAACACACATTTAATGTCTAACTGCAGGACTGAAACTCTACAGAGCTGTGATGTTTATGCCAGCAGGACAATGTTTTAGTTATTCCTTAAGCAACCATCCTAACCCAGAAACCTGGTTTCTGCCGCCAACTGAACGCCATCTTCCAAGTCCTGGGTTAGACGTCAATGCCTCATCATAAATCAGTGACATTTGGGTTTGGCTCAGAGTTACTGTCCAGCCTGCCGATGGTTATGTGACTCAGGAGTGACCTTGACGAGCAAGACCTCCAAGTCGGACAAAGACGAACAATCACACAACAACAAGTCAAATATGAGACAGAGGACGGGTGTGTTCAATATCAAGCGAGCAGGATGGCTAAGATTCAATTACAAGGACACACAGGAAGACTTTTTAATACACTCATCTGGACTTCATGACAATAAAATCAGAAGGAAACAGGATAAGAGGAGAAATCAAAAACAGACCGAAACTAATGCTAGAGTGTCTGCAAACACTCACCAGTCCTGCACAGCGCCGAAGGACTCCTCGTTGGTGATGTCGTACATTAGGATGAAGCCCATGGCCCCGCGGTAGTAAGCGGTGGTGATGGTCCTGTAGCGCTCCTGGCCTGCTGTGTCCTACAAACAGACGACATGATGTTAGCCGGCTGATTGATATTTACACTGTCAGGCTCCGAAACACGGACCCGACCCTGCAGCTGCACAGCACGTATATGCAAGTCAGTAATGGTAAATGAGCGGCGTGCATTATTCATCTGCAGCTATTTATACACACTAAGATATTCTTTGATTCATATCTGAGCATAGTTTAGACCGTTATCTACATTTCTACATCCACTTGAGGCAATGTTTGTCGTGTTCATGATGTGGAAACGATCATTATGCTAATTGCCTCACTGGCTTTGCATTGATAAGATGCCAAAAACAGCGATTCAGTTAAGGCTGGAGTGATTGATTGTTTCCTCTCCTCAATAAAATAATCACTCGGCTGTGTTGGACAGCCAGTGGAGCAGAATTCAGAGCATTCGTTTATGAGGGGGGGAAAAAAAAGGGCTAAAAATAGAGGTAGAAAAGCTACAAACGTGGAGGAACTGCTCGCTGTTTTATGATAAGGTTGAACGAATTGCTCAAAGGCACAGCGAGGGAGTGATTACACAGCATTCGAGGAGTGCTTCATTGTACACAGATTACCCTGGAAACAAGCGCACGCTGCAGCTCTTTGCCACGAGATGTCAATGAAAATGCTAATAAGGTCTGAAACAGACAGATGAAGCTTCGCTGTAGTGAGTCTGTCCATGAAAGGAAGGAGGGGATGTGCGAGTTGTTGTTTTTTTTTTTTCCGTCTTCCTCTGCAGTGGTTAACAGAAGCGTAGATTTGTTTGTTCAACGATCAGTTATGTAACAATAAACTCCGACGACGTCCCTCCTGTCTGGTGCTGCATGTTTACTGCGCTGATGTCCCACCCACAACAAGTGTGTTCACATGCGTTCTGTGGACCATGATGGACGACTTCTGGCTGCTCCACTTGGATCTTGTTAAACAAAAGCCCCCCCCCACCCGACAGGCGGCACAGGATTTGTATTTGCCACGGTCGCTGTGTCTGCCGTCATTGTGCACATGGCTGCAACAGTGTGCTGTGCGTTATAGCCAGGGGACAGCTCTGACCTTCACACCACAGAGACAGAGCTCACATTCTGCAGAGCATCCACACACACACACACACCACAAATAGCACCTTTTGTCGCGTTACAGTAACTCTAGAATTGCAGATAAAAGCCTCCATTTTAAATGTAACGTCAGAGGATGGGAGCGTCCATTGTAGGGCAAGATTCTGGACATGAAAAGGTTTTTTTATGACACAAATGTGAAAGGATTCTGCAGGTTATTTTCTTCTTTTTTGTGTGTGTTTGTGAATTGTTATTCTTAGACATGTCATTAGCCTATTGATTTTGGCTCGAGTGCCTGACAATGACCTCTGCATTTCCAGGCGATTTTCCTGTTAAAAAAAGGCGGAGCAGGACAGGAAAAAAAAAAAAAGATGCTGAGCCCCGTGAATCTGAGCTCCTCGAAAACGCTTTGCTCGTAGTCTGCAGCCCTACAGAAATCAATCCAAGAAGCGGCTGATTACTTGGAGTGGGGCTGTAGTGAGCGCCGGCTGACACTCGCCTGAACTCCTCTTCATTCAGGAAAGTGATTCCATTTTTTCCACCAGGTTCACTTCAACCTAACACAACAACGGGACGATTCTGAAAATTCATTTTTGTGCTTTTCTCTCTCAACAGGTTTGTTTTGTGACGACCTCAGTGACATTAGCCGACAGCCATCTTGTTAAAAGGCCGCTTACAGTACTGCAGGTCTCAGCACTTTGAGCCCAATTAAAAAAAGGACAGGCCAATTACGTGGACACCATAGTGGTCCCTCTGAATATGCTCAGCTTTGTTAATGATAAAAACACATTAGCCCAATTAGCCACTCGTGACTGTTTAAATCTAGCTTTCACATCCTGCTGGGCCGCCTCTTCTTTGTCTACTTATTTGATAAGCAAACATTAAATGTCTGGAGGACGGCTAATTGCTGCAAAAGACAACTATTATGAAAAGGGAGAGCAAAACCTCTGAAGGAAAGCTGACATTTAGTTAAGGAACAACAAGGAGGATTGGAAAGAAAGTAACAAGAGGAGGTCTTACATATCATCCCCTCACTGTCTCAGAGGTATTAGAGGATGCTTCAACAGATCCAATGAACTCCTAATTAAACAGCCTGAGACAGTCTTCAGTTTCCCACACATTCAATGAGAGGTGTTGCTTCTGTGTTCCTTCCAGCCGTGTGCCAAACTAACACTTACTAGTCTCTTGTCAGGAATGTTGAGACTTCCATCTGCCTCCATACTTACATCCTGGTGTTAACGCAAGACAACACGTATCCCCCCCCCCCATCGAGCTTTATGCAAATAATAACGCACACAGCTGATGTGTGCCACATGTTTTTCAGAATAAGGAACAAAAGAACCAAACATACTCTCTGTTGTGAATTGAAATGTTGATATCTAAAGAGTATAATTATAAAAGGACTTCGCTACACTGCAACAACCAAATCTTAGCCGGTGTATCAGTCTAATTTCTAGAAATAAAGTGTCTCATCAGGCTTCTTATAAGCCACATTCACCTGTGAAGCTAAGATTAACATCTCATTTCAAGATATTACAAGCAAAGAAATACATCCTGAGCTGATTGTTATGAGTACAAATAGCTGAATGTACTTTTTAAGTTTCTTGAAATTGGATAAAAATATGATTTTAAGAAACTTAAGCAAAATGTCCTAGCTGCATTGTCAACTGTTTTTACGAATTACAATATATTGAAATAAGATGCTTGTCTAGACTTGTTAGGTGAGTGTGGCTTTTAATAAGCGTAATGAGATATTTTGAACTATGAATTCGACATATATATTTCCTGATTTGAGTTTTTTTTGCAGTGTAGGATGGTGTGACATGTCACTTAAAGGGCAAAATGGTCATTTTTGTCCACCTGCATGTTGTCAAGATGACATCAGACTTCTTCAATATTGTTAGTCTTTATTGTACAAAGCTAAAATGTTGGAAGAAGTGGTATTAGCTCTGATGTATATTCTATACTTTGAGTGAAGGTTATGTATCATATGCAAAGCCAACCTGAAACAAGAAATGAAAGCAAAGTATGTCCAAGCATATAAAGTAAGCACGATCTCTCCTAAAAGCCTCGCCCCTGACTTGAATTGAATTAATGCACATGGGGGATCCCGTTCATGCAGGACTTTTTTTTTTTTGTCTAACAGCCTGTCAGAGTCCTTGAAATGTATTGATCAGCAGAGAGAGATATGGACAGAGGTCACGAGAAGGTGGGCTCTGGGCAAAGATTGACAGCCTTATGGAAACAGGAGTCCCTCAGCAGGAACACAAAGACTATAAGAGCAGGAGGGGGGGGCCCTTCCCCCTTGGAGCTTTGATAGTCCTCCAGGAGACCTTAGAGGACAACATGAAACACGTTTCTTCTAGACAATCGGTGCGTTTCAACATGCAAATGATCTCCATTTGAATGGGTTAAAAAGAATTTTGAGCGAGGTGTGCACACAGAAATAAACCGTGATGAAAGAAAAACACAACTATGGCCCATGCTACTTTATAATCTGGAAATTTGTCGTCTTTCCCCTTAAACTTTCCACCTTTAGGTTATAAATAAATCATATTTCGAGTTTGGCTTTCAAAACGGAAGGAATAATGAGGAAAAACACAAGAGTAAGATGCATTCAGAGCAAGGTGAGCAGAAATAGAATCTGCATTAGCTCCTTCTATTTTCATCTGGTTTGGTCAGGAATCAAACATTTTGTGGCTCCCCTCCTAAATGTTTAATGCTCGCATTTGAATATTTCATACCCAGATCTGCAGCTTGATCCTCTTGTCGTTCTTGTACACGGTCTTCACTTTGAAGTCGATGCCCACCGTGCTGACGAAGGCCGAGGTGAAGGCGTCATCTGCGTAGCGGAACAGGAAAGACGTCTTGCCCACGCTGCTGTTGCCGATGATCAGCAGCTTGAACATGTAGTCAAAGTTTTGGTCCCCTCCCTCTCCCTTCCCTTTTGCATCCTGGGTGGCAGCCATCTGTAAAAAAAAAAAAAAATAAAATAAAAAAAAAACCACAAAGAGACGCTGAACAGATTGCAGAAAGCGCTTCACCTTGAGTTAGTGTGAAGCTTCTCAGGATTGTGACGCACAGATGATGTGGACCAATGAGAGACACATTTTTTTTTAGTTTTCTGTCTCTCTAGTTTTTTTAAAATGCAACTTCTAACGTAGTTTACTCACTGGGACCAGCGAGTCAAGGAGCAAAAGAGCCTGATGTTGCACATACAGTAATTGCTGGTTGTACTACAGAGGCCGCACAGATCAGAGGTGACAGACGGCTGTGTCAGGCAAACCAGCATGACCCAACACAGCAAGCTGCTGTATTGATCAGATAAGCAGGGTTTTAAAACGCTGAGCTGGCCTTCTCTTAAAAAGTGTTTTTTTTTTAATGCAAAATTATAAAAACTAATGAAACCAAAACACAACAGTGATTCTGTCATTTTACACACTGTCTATTATTCAGTTTATTTTCTCAATGTGAATTCATGCTATGCTCGAACAAAAAAATGCAAATGTATTTTTATATTAGTCTTACAACAACAATTTCACACTTCATTTTTATTTTCTTTTTTTTGCAGCTTTCATGCATCCTTTTTCTGATTATAAATCTTAGCAGCCCTTAAATCTTCCATTTTAAAGCTGCTCGGCTTCCGTATTGTGTAAAGAAATTGTATAATGCTACATTTTCACCCAAGTAACGCATCCATAGGCACTGAGGATCTCTGTGCAAGCTGTCAGCAGTCAGCAACCCAAGAGGACAAGAGGACTGGGAGCAGAAATGACAAGAGCAGAGTCATCTTTGCTCCAAGGTGAATGTTTTCACAAAGCCACTGCGCCTAGAAGCCGAACACGGACACAGTCTCTCCGCACAGCCTCTGCTTTTATAAAAGATGCCGGACCTCCATCCTGCACCTCCTGCACATCCTGCACCGGGTTTCGCTTCCGTGTATGACATAAAAAATAAAAAAAAAACACACAACCGAGGCTGTATTTGCAAGGACATCGCTTTGAACTATCATTGCAATGCTGGCATTCAAACACACGGAGATAAAAGCATTGGATGGAACAGGGAATGACTCGATATCATTAAAGAGGGAGCTGCATGCCAGCTAATATCAACCTAGCTACTCTGGGCAGGAGGTCATCTTTTCACCCGCTGAATATTACCCTACTGTTAAGAAATGAAACTAGCACAACGCGTTGAGGACATTGCGTGAACAAACCTGTTTTTGAAGGCCTGGCGCTCTATCTGTATATGCCCGTGTTTTGCAGAAAACGCGTTTTCTCTAAATGTCTAATTGAGGCGTTGATTCTCTTCCCCCCTCCGCGTCTCTCTTTCTCTTTGGAGCGCCGAGCACTTTCAGCACCTGGGAGCTGTCCCCTCCGCTTCACATGTGGCACGCGCCCCTGCGCTGACGAGGCTTGTGCTCGCGTGAGACACGAGCACGAGCGTAAAGGGAAAGAGCGTTTTGGTTCGCTCGCTCTGACGTCAGCGGCGAGGCTCGTCGGGGCCAAAAAAAAAAAAAACATGGGGAGTGTAGTTTTTTGCAGCGTATCAGCGCGGATGCGGATGTTGGTTGAAATAGTGGCTATTCGACTACATTACTCAGCATGCAGCACTTCAACAGCTGTGGAAAGGCAGGAATAACATCTGTGGGTCTTTAAAAACAAAAAAGAGATGTTGTCTACAGCCTATGTTCCGATTCATGCAAAAAGAAAGACAAACATTGCAATAAACTTTAGGCCTGTGAAGTCTGTACCTGCTCCCTTGTTTGTTTGTTTTTCATTTTGTAAAATCATGCATCTTACCTTCCCATACAGGTCCATGTCAGGTCTCAAATAAATGTGCCTGTATTCAAACCCGCCCTTATCGCTACAATAAACTCCCAGCTGGACGCTTTTTTTTTTTTTTTTTTACTGGAAGCAAATATAATGGCCTCTTCTTTTGCGTCACTCTTAGACGCGTTCGCCCCTCCGCCCCCCCCCCCCCCGCCCATGCAGCAAACCCTGCTTCACAGAACAAACGCCTGTGCAAATAAGAGAGGCCTGAGTGCTGATTGTTGCTGTGGGCCTTTCAATAGAAGCAAGTGCAAGAGGAGGGAGCGGTGGAAGTGCAACAAAAAATGGGCATCTTTAATTTGCAATGGTAATCACGACAGTCCTCTTTTAGGTGGATCATAATGGCTGCTTGGTTCATTTAAAAATATTCCTAAGTATAGTGTAGCATTTTTCATGATAGGACCCGTATTTTCACAGCATCAGTTACTCTGAGCGTCTTCCAGTGTATTATCTTAATAACCATCTTCTCCTCATACTAGAGGCCGACATCATTTATGGTAGTCCACCATGCAGAAACAGCACAGTATTGGACACACCAGGCCTTATATAAGCGTGGACTACAGTTTTGATTCATTTCTAGCCATGACTCGTATCAGCCAGTAAGCTGCATGCATCTGATAGGCTGTGTGTGAAGTTACAGGGCGGGCTGTGGTGTGACAGATCGCCCTTTTGACTGGAGGATGTGCAGACTCAGTGCGCAGCCGCAGACCAGGGAGCGTGTCAGGTAGGCTGAGCAAACACGTCTGTCTCTACAAATCTACATTTTCCAGTTGTAACTCTACAAATGTAGGAAAGCGGTGTCACAGTATTCGTAAACCTTGCTCATGAGCAGGTGCACTATCAGGGAAGCGAGGGTATTTACTTTTAATGCTGTGCAGAGAATTTGTCCAAATTCAGGAATCCTGAGATTTGTTTTTCTTCCCATGCTTCTCTGGAATAGTCCAGTGTTGGTGGTTCGTCTTTGGTTACAGAGATCCTGTACATGCATTCCTTTCACAAACCATGCTGTCGTTTCAGTTTATGACCTCGGAGTGGTAAACAAAACTTTTCTAGAGGTTTCTGAATGAGAAAAGGTCACAATGGCTCCCCCTGCTGTTGGAAAAAGGTGCTCTGGTGATATTTGTTCTTTGTGGTTCATGATTAACAGCAAAAGTGGCAGACATCAAATAAGTGTTGCTACATTAGCTGCTACTGAAGTGAGCTATATCTGTTTACAAAGGGTCAGTCTTTGGTTATTTTTATCCTGGGCAAAAGAAACAGATGACAAACAGCAAACTATTTTTAGCATACAATAAAGGCAGGCCTACTCATCAAACATGTGGTTTCAAGTGTTTGACTAAAAACATTTGAGTCAAACTTGTTTATTTGAAGAGATATTTTGGATCTGCCAATTGTGACTCGAGCTTCAGCGTATATAGTTTCCAATAAGTAACAAGAAAAACGTGTCTTTAATACATAGTTTGTCAACCATGTTTTCTGTAAAATGTCTAGATCATTAACAGGACAGAGTTCAAATGTTTGATTTGTTGGGGCGCTGGTAGCCTAGTGGTTAGTGCCTGCGCCCCATCTACAGAGGGCCTGGACCCCCAAGCGGGCAGCCTGGGTTTGGATCTGGATCCTGTGGCTCCTTTCCCACATGTCATCCCCAACTTTCTCTCTTTTCCCCATTTTTGCCCAACCACTGTCCTATCTCTTAATAATGGAATATAATACCCAAAAATAAACCTTAAGATTTTTTCTTTCATTTGTTTGTCATCATTTGAGTGCGAAGTGTTCAGAGTGTTTCAGTTTGATGATCTTTGGCATGTGACATGTGATGCAGACGCTGTAAAATCAACGAGTAATACAGATCTATTTTGTACCATAAACTGCAGGTGACCGTTTGCAATGGAGGACGCCATTGAGGTGATTCTGCAAGACGACAGCAAGGTCCTTCCTACCACCAGGTCTCATCCTCTGGTGTCGGCCTGCACAGGCGTTGTGCTCACGGGACTGTACGGCGTCTGGAGCCTGTTTGCTCTGCCTGGCTTTCGCAGAATCCCGTGGAACCTCAAGGTTCTTGAGATATCCTTTTTTCTGTTCTCGCCTGCCTGCTTTGCCGCGTTTCTACCTTTTTCAAAAATAAAAACTGCATGCTAGTTTAAAATAAAATGAGATGGAATGACATGGAACTTGCGGATTAACCATAATAAGTGCTTATTTGGGAGCATAGTGCTCCGTGAAACAAATGTGGATGATGAAGAAAATGGTAAGTCTCTGATACTTTAAGGAGAACTGCACAATCTTCTACAGTGAAGGACAAACTGTGCTGTGCAGGATTCCATTTTTGTAACATAATAGGACAATTTTTATTTCACTGTCAGTACAAGATTAAAAAGAAAACATGATGGTCAGGAGCAGATCATCAGAAATTGGGTAACTTCAAATTTCATTTTTCTCTTAAAAAAAAAAAATATATAAAATTGTCTAGACGCTCTTTCTGTATCCCGTATATATCACTTCAAACATGTCTTGCTGGATGAACAGTGGCATTGGGAAGATCACAGATTAAAGCCCGTTTACCACAGATGTATATGTAGAGGTAGAGAGAGAGAGATCTGCTTAGCGTGTCATTTAGCCAGATATGGTGAACCAGTTCCTCTGACAGTGAGTGGGAGATCAGACTCAAGGATACAGTCATAGCACTCAGAAAACCTGACTGTTATGAACAGAAGAGAGCCTGTTCTTTAAAAGAAGAAAAATCTGAAAATGTTGCTGATGTAATGTTTGGTTGGAGTGTCATAAAAACTGGACCAATGTTTTTACTAACTTGCTAATTTGACTTTGTGCTGAAGTTGAAGTTGAAGTTGAATAACAGACTAATCTACAACAAACAGACTGTGGGGAAAAAAGCTGCATAAATAAGTTTTCACCTTTTCATGTTTCTGTTGTAATGTGATCACACACTTACAGCATGTTTGCACTGTGGTCCAGGTTCCTTATTTGCCCTCCAGTAAAGATCAGACACTGAACACTATGAAGCTGCTTGAAGGACGAACCGGCCGATTGGCAGATCTGGGATCAGGAGACGGAAGACTGGTTAGTGAGTGGAAGCTGTTAGGAAGTGATGAGAGTCAATCTGACATTTAGTTTAAATTCAGTGTGGGAAGTCAATGCTAGTGTGCTCTGTTTTGACTCTAGTGGCGTGCTGTAGTTGTATTTTACATGCTTCATGTTGAATTTGCAGGTGTTTGCAGCCTCTTCGGCTGGTTTCCGGTGCACAGGGTTTGAGATTAACTCCATTTTAGTGTCGTATTCCAGGAACAAGGCGCGGTGGAGAGGACTCCCCTCAAGTCAGGCAACCTTTGTGAAAAAAGACTTCTGGAAGGTAAGAGTTTGACACGATTTCTATCTCTTCTTAAGCCTGATGATTAAGTGTTTCTAATGAAATCTTTGTGTGGTTTTTGTTTTCATAGATTGATTTATCGCCATACAACAATGTGACAGCTTTTCTTTCTCCAGAAGTGGTGAGTGTGTTAGCATTCTTGTTGACTTTATTTTAGCTGGGTAAGTCATTTAAAACACATCTGAAATGTCTAGTTGAGTCACTTGTTCATATATGCACTCACAGTTGGAGACTTTCCCTGTCAGACTTGAGGGGGGGGGACGTGAAAAGGACAGCACAGAAGTGGCAGATGAATCAACAGAGTCTGACGCTATGTTGGCAGTTTTTTGCCTTTTATATCAATGCTTTCTGCTTGCTGAATATAAGAAGCAGCTTCATTATGGTCACGATGACGAGCACGCTGGTCGCTCCAGGGTCCTGTGTTATTAAAAAACATGAACTCTGCCCTCTTGTTTGCGGGGAACTTTTCTGAATATTACCTGCTTCGTTTTCACATTTGCTCACCCCAACATCACAAACTCATTTTCCTAGGGGGCTGGTCGGAAAAACTCTGGTGAAACTCTGGTGTGTGAAAACACAAATACATAGCATCTGATTGCTAAGCAACTAAAATAGCCTTTTATGAGTGTTTTTTTTTTTTTTTTTTTTAGATGGGGGTTCTCGGTGAGAAGCTGTTGAAAGAGCTTCCTGATGATGCCCGGGTCATCGCTTGTCGTTTTCCTTTCCCTGACTGGCCGCGACAGTCCTCTGCCGGCTCAGGTCTCGACCAGACGTTTGCCTATGATATAAGAAACGTGCGCTCCCACCTGAGGAAGTTGTCCAACACGGCGTGTGTGGAGTAAGTCGTGGTGTTGCTTATAGAGTTTGTGTATTTTATTCTCTTCAGTTAGAAGCACTGATCAGGGGTTGTCCTTTTTGAAAGATGTCTCTGAACACTGAAGGGATGAGAGGACTCTGACTAAGCCAGACAAGATGTCAGGATGATTCTGACATCACTCAGGCCCTGCACTATACTGTATGTTCAATCTTTGCACTGCCAGAACACACTCAGCCTTTTTCATGTTGCTCACAGCGTTCATGTGAATACCAACATGCTCTGCTGTCTGGAATATGGCTTGGATTTAAAATGTCGATCAAACAGCTCTTCCTCTCCAAATACTTTAACTTCACATCAGCTCTAATAAACCTACTTTACTTTAGCCACAGAAGGGATAGTGTGGGAAGTGTTGCATTTCTTTGCCTTTAAAAGATGTCCTCAGATACCCCCATGTTTAAAACTGTCACCTGGCCTCTGAGAGCCGTGGAATAAACTTCTGTGTAGAGAAAAGGTTATTTACTGTAAGAGCTGTGGTGATGTGTGTAACCCAGATTGTGTGTGTTTGACCGTTTTCTTCGTTTTATCACAAATAAAATAACTTTCCATGCACACGACTGGAACTGTCTTACTCTATCTAGTACATGACGTGACATTAAGATTATATTGCTATATGTACATTACTTTAATGCGTCCATAGTTCATAGACCAGGTTCATGTACTCGCAGACCACTTAAAAGTTTCATCAAGTCCAACATGTCAGTCTCTAATCGCTATGTACACAGTATAAACTATAGTCGACGAGGTTTCAATGGCGAAACCTGCTCTGCATCCTAAATGTCCAGCAGAGGGTGCTAGTGGCCCAAACTGACTTTGGTGCAGACACACAGGAGAAGGTGAGCCATGAATGGAATACAAATGGTGCTAAACCTCTGCATTGTGGATGCTTTATTGTCCAGATGCGTCCGACTTTGAACACCTTTTAATAATATTTAGCGCCAAAATGTTTTCATGCTCAGATTCAATGAACCTAATGTGTAAACAAACAAGCCTATCCAACATGTCCTACATTATTATTAGTGTCGTGGGTGGCAACTGCTGATCGAATCAATTATTCTTCAGGAGTTATCAGGAAACCTATTCTGTTTTATTTCCTTTGATCATGTCGATGCCATCATCAACACCTCTGTACACGCATTGGTAATCAATATTATTCAGACCTCATGCTCTCCTTTCACACCGTGACGTCAGAGAGAGGGCGGCAGACAGCGGGAGGGGAAGGGGAGGGTGCCAGGGTATAAAAGCAGTCAGGGACGGACTCCGGGCTTCATTCTGAGTCTGGAGCTGTAGAAGACGTCTCTCATGGAAGTACAGAGAACTATCGGGCCCCCACAGACGATCAGCAGCAGTATGTGTGAGGCCACGCAGAGGTCAGGCGAACCTCGCCGAAAGAAGACGGACGAGCGCAGTGCGCCCTCGGAGATGGCCAGGATTATCACGGATCCCGCCACGGGGAAGTGCTACTGCCGGGGGAAAGTTTTGGGAAAGGTAGCGCACGCACAGACATATCTGGCAACTTTTCCGTTTGGATATACCGCTTAAACCCGAAGACGCAGCATTATAACGTTGTTTTCCTCATTTTTTCAGGGAGGTTTTGCGAAGTGCTATGAGATGACCGACCTTTCCACCAGCAAAGTTTACGCAGCCAAAATCATCCCGCACTCGCGCGTGTCCAAACCTCACCAACGGGAGAAGGTAAGCGCGCGCGGCTGCTGCGTCTGTGTGTGTGCCTTGTGCGCACAGATTTGTCTTTTTCTAAATATACAGAATGACCTCAAATAAGCAGCGTGACCATTTTTTTCTCTCCCCTTTATCCCATCAGATTGACAGGGAAATTGAGCTGCACAAAGTTCTGCACCATAAACACATTGTGCACTTTTATCACCATTTCGAGGACAAGGAGAACATCTACATCCTGTTGGAATACTGCAGTAGAAAAGTAAGTCTCTAACAGGGGAGTTTAGTCCCTGCTACAGTTGTGATTGAAATTTTGGATAACACCTGCATTGCACCTAAAGTCAATGAGGCAGCATGTAGGTGCCATGCATTCTGCCTCTACTAGAACGTTTTTTTAAATAGATATTATTATTATTATTATTATTATTATTATTATTATTAGTTTTATTTCCAAAGAGGAAAAATGTGTTTTTTTTTAATGGGAAAAGTAGCACTTGTGGAAAAAGCCCTTTAATCATTCATTTCTCTTCTGACTCTTTACAGTCATTAGCTCACATCCTGAAGGCTCGCAAAGTGCTTACAGAGCCAGAGGTGCGTTATTATCTCCGGCAGATTGTCTCTGGTCTGAGGTACCTGCACGAACAAGAGATCCTTCACAGAGACCTGAAACTCGGTAAGGAATCCATGCATCAGCGACGAAAATATTGCTGAGACATTTTGTGCACAATAATAAGAGATGCATTCTGTACAGAGAATGACTCTCGCTTCTTTCTCATGCTTTCCCTTTGATCTGAAGAGGATGAGTGCATTACATTATTTAGCCTTTGATCTCCTATCGAGTGCTCATCGTTTCATTCCCTCTCTTCCCTGCAGGTAACTTCTTTGTGAGTGAGTCGATGGAGCTCAAGGTCGGGGACTTTGGTCTGGCTGCCAAGTTGGAGCCAGCAGGAAACAGGAGGAAGACGATCTGTGGAACTCCCAACTACCTGTCCCCTGAGGTGCTCAACAAACAGGGCCACGGCTGTGAATCAGACATCTGGGCCTTAGGCTGTGTAATGTGAGTAGGCACACTGTAAATGATTAACCATTAAATCATTCATGTTAGTATGAAAAATATGAGTTATTGTTGAATTGCTATTGTTGTCAGATTAAGTGCATTTCAGTGACATTGGCTGACATTTGCCCTTCGTTCTTCTACAGGTACACCATGCTGTTGGGCAGGCCGCCGTTTGAAACCACCAACCTGAAGGAGACATACAAGTGTATAAGAGAGGCTCGTTACTCCCTGCCCTCCTCCCTCTCACCACAAGCTAAGCAGTTGATTGCCAGCTTGCTAGCCAAGATCCCCGAGGACAGACCCAACCTGGACCTCATTCTGAGACACGACTTCTTCACACAGGTATGACACCATCATCTGTTTCTCTCTCTCTCTCTCTCTCTCTCTCTCTCTCTCTCTCTCTCTATGGTCTGTCCATCTTTCTAGATGTCACATTGTTGGCTATAACAGTGACCCTCTAACCACCAGTTGCACACTGACCCACTTCCTCTCTCTCCGTAGGGCTTCAGTCCAGAGCGTCTGCCAGCGAGCTGTTGCCATTCAGCACCAGATTTCCACGTCTCTAGTCCAGCCAAGAGCTTCTTCAAGAAAGCTGCCGCCGCACTGTTTGGTGGGAAGAGAGACAAGGTCAAATACTACGAGACTCTAAGTGTTGCACACTGACCCACTTCCTCTCTCTCCGTAGGGCTTCAGTCCAGAGCGTCTGCCAGCGAGCTGTTGCCATTCAGCACCAGATTTCCACGTCTCTAGTCCAGCCAAGAGCTTCTTCAAGAAAGCTGCCGCCGCACTGTTTGGTGGGAAGAGAGACAAGGTCAAATACTACGAGACTCTAAGTGAGTTTTACATCAGCCACTAAGCAATCATGTACCAAAAAGTAAAGACACTTGTCTCAGCCAATCGTTTTTCACTTTACCAAACTTATGTTTGGTGAGGCAGGAATCATGAAATCAATTTTTTTCTGACCTTATTGCAAGCACATTAATCATTTTATCAGGTTTTTCTCGGATGTCAGTTTATGTAGCTTCAGCTGAAAGAGGCCATGCTCTGATTATTTTTTTGTGTCCTGTCATTTGCTTTTTATAGACAAATTAACCAAAGAGGAAGAGGAGATCTACAAACTGCAGCACGACCTACAGAGAACTGTGATCAGCCAACAACAGAGCAAAAAGATCCCTGAGGTAAGAGCTACAGAAAACTGAATATCTACCACAGTGTTGGATATATTGTAGGTACATTTTTTCACAGGGCTATTAAGTGAAGAGGTTGATTTTAAATTTCATGTTGCAAGAGAATACAGTGACTCACTCTGATGTAGCACTAAACTTTATAACAAGCACAGCTTGAGAACAAACTAAAAAGCACTTATTTTCAACCTCTAAGCCAATCACTATGAATCTGTGGGTGACCGCTGAGTCATAGTAGGAAGAGATGATCTAAACTCGCAGTTTCTCAGTCCTGTCGTCATTGATTCTCACCTCAGAATGGAAGTCTACTTCCGCCATCTGCTGAGAGCCCTGTCGCCCCGGCAACAGAGAGCCAGTCTCCGACGACACGAGACACCATCCGCCTCATCGTCAGGGGGAGTCTGGGGAGCTGCAGCAGCAGCAGTGAATGTAAGTTCACCTTGTTCCACACAATTCCAGCCCTGTGTCTACATGAATGGGTTTTTAAATAGGAAACCCAAAATGTGTAAAAATGCATTGGTGATGCAGGCAACAAGTTAAGTGACCCCATTTTTATTGTTTTTTTTTTCTTTAAGGCCTGGAAGACAGCACAACAGGAAGTGTAGCTGAGACTGTTGCCAGTGTTTTGAGAGGATGTCTGGAGAATATGCCAAAAGGTGAGTTCAATTGTTGCAATACTTTTCTAAGCTATGATCTCTTATTGTTATTATTAAGATAATTCTACCTAAGCTCAACCAAGCCTTGTAACAAATAGACGTGTTTATAAAAGAGCTTACTAGACTGAAGATACACTCCCTGATTTTGTTACCCAACTTCCCTCCCAGCAACCATGTTGCTGCATAAAACCTTAAGTACACAGTTTATAGTTAAGGGAGCTGTAGGACATTTTGGAGTTCAGCTAATCTCATTGGTGCTTTAACAAAGTCAGGGGTCCTACAAGGTTGCTCAGTTGATGCTGTCCCCTAAGTCCTTCCTGTAATTGTATTCTAATCCTCCACGTCCTCTGTGCTCTCACCCTGCAGCGGACGACATTCCTCAGGGCTCTAACAGCTGCAGTCTTCAATGGGTGACTAAATGGGTGGACTACTCCAACAAGTACGGCTTTGGCTACCAGTTGTCTGATCACACCGTGGGAGTCCTCTTCAACAACGGCACTCACATGAGCCTCCTGCCAGACAGAAAGTAGGCACTTTTTCAAGCTTTCACAGCACTCCACCTTCGGTTTGAAAGATCTTAGTCACACAAAATAATGGATGTAGCTTGTTCGAGCATGCTGGAGTGCATTGAAAAACCAGTTAGTGGTTTGAAAAGAGGGAAGGGATCGCTGTAACTTGTTCTGTTTGAGTATGTGTGGTTGTTTAACTCTTGATCTCCTTTGTATCTTTCCAGGACCATTCATTACTATGCAGAACTGGGTCAGCGCTCCGTCTTCCCCACCTGCGAGGTTCCTGAACACTTTGTGGGTCAGGTGACTGTGCTCAAGTACTTTTCCCACTACATGGAGGAGAACCTGATGGACGTAAGTATCTTAGTCCTCCACACCTCTGTCTTTTGTCTTTCTTTCCCTTGAGCGTTAGAAATGATGGCTTTCATGTTGCAACCTGTCTAATCCTGATGTGTGACTCCTTTGCTTTCTCAGGGAGGGGACCTGGGCAGTACGACAGACACACACATGCCCAGACTCTACCTGCTGCAGTGGCTCAAGTCCGACCGCGCCCTCATGATGCTCTTCAACGACGGCACCTTCCAGGTAAACAAAAGCACTAATAGAGGAGTGCAACCGTTGCTGGGCATGCTCAGAAGAGCACTGTTTAGGTGCAATGCATAACACAGTATTCAGTGTCTTGTGAGTTCATGTGGGCTTGGCACTTTTTTTTTTACCAAGTTTACTAAAGTGCTGCACAGTAAGATTAAAAAGAAGAAGAACACAGTAAAATCACATAAAAGAATGTTGGAACAGTAAAATGCAAAAGAGAAAACAGCTTAAATCCATAGAAAACAAAAAAATACACAGTATACACACTACTACATCTACTTACAAAATAGAAGGGAGGGTTTGACTATCAATTAAGATAAACATCAAATTGCTATGGATGGAAAAAACCCCTGAAAAATAACAACCCTTTTCTATCTCCACAGATCAACTTTTACCATGACCACACCAAGATCATCCTGTGCTGCCAGAGGGACGAGTACATGCTGACATACATCAACGAGGACCGTGTCTCCAAAACCTTCAAGCTGAGTTCCCTGCTGACGTCCGGCTGCCCGCACGACCTTCGAGAACGAATGGTGTACTCTCTCAACATGCTTCTGCAGAGAGCCAGCTAAACCAATACAATCATATGTTTGGACTATGACAAAAAAATAAGACTGATCCACACGTTGTGCTGCTGCAGTGCTGCAGTGGAACCAGGATCTGCGCTGGAAGGACAATAGAGGATGGACCGGTGGAAAGTTAATTAACATTCCAACACTGTTGCACCTTCGTGCCGTTGGGAAAATAATACAGACAGACTCTGTGGATGGGGAAATGAAATGTAGCGCAATGAAACCGGATGCTAAAGGGCTGATTTGTATGTTGATTGTAAGAGGAGAAGAAAGACTGGGCATGTTGGTACGAATGTGAACCTCATATTTTTAGGGGAGGGAAAATGTACGATGTTTGGAAAGTAGAGACAGAACGCTGGGCTGGCACCAGCTTAAATGTGTACAGTACAGTGGATACTGTTTTATAGAGACAAAGAATAAACTGATGCTCTGAGTGTAACCAGAGCTAAACTGTGGAAGCCTGTAAATGATGTACAGTGAATGTCACAGCCCACTCAGCAGTGCAGAGGAATGATTGCTAATGTGTGCGGAAGCTACGGAGTCCGGCTGTTTTTATGTGTGTGTGTGTTGTGTGTGTGTGTGTGAGTGGGATGGGTGTATCATCACATTAACTTTGAAAAACTGTGATTTATTCTCTTTACTGACAGATGGATTGAGCTGAGATCAGGGATGATGAGTTTGGTGGGAGAGAGAATTACATTAACAAAACAGTACCAAGGATCCTCTGAGGGTCACTTCAGAGCAATTACCACCTTGGTAGAAAATGTCCTACATAACTTATTGTGTAGTATTTATTTATTTAATAATAATAAAAAAACATTTTGCAAAGAAAAAAATTGTCCTGAGTTGTGTCGTCCTCGTTTATGTTCTTCTGATATCTAAAGACCAACCTGAAAATGAACTATGTCCTCGTTTCGTATGTTATAAACACAGTGTTCATGCACTGTACGGTGTGTTTAGAAGTAATTACACTCTTATCTGTCCAATTCAAAGCAAGTATTTAATCTTGAAAGTTGAGCGTGCAGCAGGAAAAGGGCACAGAAAGAGAGATGGATGGCTTGTTTACAGGAGGGATGTTTATTTTTCTTTCCAAGGCCAAAACTTTCCTCTTCAGTGATTCAAAAAAGATGGCAGAGCCTGTGCAATGTGGCCGTCCTTGTCGCACATTTAGACACACACTGACAGGCCCACATTACTTTGCATACAAACAAGGGCACGGAACGACTAATAGGCAGGTAGGAAATAAATAAGGAGCAGTCACATGCTGCCACTGTGACGCGGACTACACCATGTCAGCAATTGCATCAGAGCTTTTCAGGCAACGTGTCTACAATTCTTAGTTATCATTTCCCATTCACTGACCGTAACCATGGAAACAAGCAGGCACTGGCCACTTGGTGAAAGTCAGAGATAAATTAAGGCTGTGTAATAAAAACATCACAGATTCCTCCTGCTGAAAGTCAGAACTCACCCATGACATACTTGTGCTACAACGATGGCTCATTTGGTTTGTATCCGAGTGGCTTTCAGCAGCGCTCTCTCTGTTCTCTGCCCGAGTAATCTGTTGAACACCACTCTTCCATCGGCGCTTATGTAATGATGGAAGTTGAACATGGATGTTTGAGTCATCCCTTTAGATATTCTGCCAGAATATCTGTGTTTGTCAGAGTTCAATAATGAATGCCGCATGCATAAACATACCAACAGACAGAGATAGAACAGGAAGTAGCCTAAGAAGAAAGAGCAGGAATTATTCATGACGACACCTCTAGGTCTGAGTGCCTGTGTTTTGACAGTAATGGCCCATGGAATGGATGCCTTAGTCAGACAGGAATAGATTTCATTGTTGATGTGCAGTTTTTTGGCCTTTCAGGGCATTTCTACCCCCTGGCTCTAACATCTAAACAGAAGGAGAGCCACTCCATCACATGGATGAAATTGTTTTATGGAAATTAATAACATGCTGCTAGGTGGCATGAGGAAAAAAAGCAGTTTCTCTAGAATAAAAATGTTTCTAGTCCATTGTACATTTAACTCTTGTAATCATTCCTGAAATTCAGGTCACGTCTGAATCTCCTCTGTGACTCAGCAAATGTTAGTTTTACCGGTCTCATGGGAACCTTCTCCACGCCTTTAAGCACAAAACATAGATAAACTAATTAGAAAACCCAGTGGAGTTCAGAAAGCTACGACTGTGAGTTCACTTGATGTTCTTGGTGCCACTACTGTTTTTTTGCTAATAGCTAATGCAAGTTTTCAGTATCACCCACACAAAGCTGTTCCTCTGTTATGCCCCGTTGAGAGTGGGAAAAGCCTTGTGCGTGCGGCCTGGCTTAGCACTGCAATGAGTCTAAGCCGGAGCGACAGTGGGGATCTTTATACCTCAGCTTCTATCATAAAGTTCTCCGCAGGCAGAAGAGTGAGTCAGTTTGGCATTAAAAGTGATAGTAGGCACATTCTGCCAGGAAGAAAAAAAAAACCCTACTTTGATATGTGCATACACTGGGAAGCTCCTGAGGGATTAGAAGGCCTTTGCATATCAAATGTCAACACTCCTCTCCTCCTACTATGTAGACAAAAACAGATGTACTGATAGAGCAGGGATGACTGTAGCGATGCTCATCCTTTGCTGAGGAGACATGAGCAATGCAAAGAAGTCAAAGTTGCGAGAACAACACTTGGTCTGATAAGGTTTCACTTAAAAAAGTATCTCTTGAATTTGTTATGGATTAAAGAGGTTTTTGTCGTGTTTGCTTTCCACCCAAGTAATTATGTGATGAAAATTACTTTTGGAAGAAAAACTAGTAGGCCCTCATAGGCCTACATAGAAATATAAATCTGGCTTATTTTGAAAGTGTGAAAAAATCATTTAAGCATTTTTTTTTAAATATAGGCCAATGAAATTTAAATTATTATCTTGTTTTATCCAGTTGGCTATTAATGACGTCAACATTAACTTCTCGTTCAGCAATTTGATTGGTAGGTAGGTACACCTTAAAGGTAACTAACCATGCAAGTGTGTGTAAAAAAGTGTTACTTTTACACCTTCTAGATAAAGAATTAGGCTATAGTTGTTCTATTGTTTTGGTAAAATACAACAACAATGGACCCAATGTTTTTTGCGGTATGAAAAAGAGGGAGAATAGATTATATTGGCGGCGGGGATCAGAGACTGCTAATGCAGCCAGCAATGATAAAGCTAATTGCTTATGTTGAGGATTGTGATTACAAACAATATGGACAATGAGAACAAAGAAGAGGACGAGGAAGGGAAGAACAGTCGGAACCGGAACGAGCATTGTAAACTGAAAATAAGATACTTAAGTGCTGTGTGTCTGTATGCTAGACAGCTGTTAGCTAGCTGGTCTTGTGGCTTTCTGTTGTCATAGCAACCTTAAATTAATCTGCTTTTCCGTGACTTTTTCCAAGCAGTGTTATTGATGTTTATCTTCACAGTCGAAATATTCTAAATATGTACAGAAGCTTTTATAGTGGCTATGGTTGGGATTGCAATTGTTGCTGGTTGTTTGTGCACTTTTTGATGATGTTTATGAATAATGTAAGGAATTAAATGTGCTTGAGTTATTTTTAGTAGCCTAATGTAGGTTAATTTCTTTAAGCAGGAAAGGGGAATTTTGTTTTGCTGTAGTTATATTAGTTGGCATACGCTCAGTTTGAAGTAGAGGAGTCAGTAGGATGCAGTGATTATTTTACTCTATAATTTTACTGTTCATGTTCTCTTGCCTGATTGCTGTCGTTTCCTACAATCAGCTCTCAAAAAAAGGTTTTTCCTTTCTAGCTGAAAATAGATCCTTAGTGTTGTTACAATATCTGCTGGTTCATTCATGGACCAAAGTGTTCTAGCAAATCTGTGTCTAATTAAGTAACAAAGAGCCCTCCAATTCTAGCGTCTTTGAAAAGAGATGTATCATTTTGTTTTTTTTAGCTCTTTCTTTTTGTCAGTGTAGGGTAGTAAACTGTTTAGGAGCCTCTCTGTTTCTCAGACAGGCACCGAAGTATCATATATGATTCAAGTGATGGTAACATTCGTCCTTAATATTTAACACCAGGCCTCCATACAAACATTTCTCTGTCTGCATACAGCATGGTCTCTAATGTAGATCTAGTGTCTCTAATCAGGTTAACTCACTTTCACCTGTATGTAACTGTATATAAATATGTTGCATGTTATTTCCTTTAATATTTGATATGCAATATAGATTAGATTTATTTAAAAAAATATATATTTCAGATTATATTAGTTAGGTTTGTAACAGGGGACTGTGCCAAGCACACCCAGATTTATTTATTTTCATTTTGGAAACTCTTGTTCTTGTGCTTCAGTAAATTTCATCTCAGCACCCCTAAAATAATAACAGGGGCCAGATTTGGGAAATTTGACAGACATTTTGCAAATATCTTAATTTTATATTTTAGAAATCATTTTGAAGTTAAAAAAAATATATTTTGCTACTGCCATACAGCATACCTTAACCCCCCCCCCCCCCCCCCACCTCACTCAGGTCAGCTACTGGCCATATTGTGAATAACGATTACCCTTCATAAATTAATCCCTTTTGATTTTTTTATCAAATATAAATTTCTGTTGTAAAAACTGATATTTTTGAATGGGTGTGTGTGTATGTGACTTTTAGGGTGTCTGCAGCCAGCCTAAAGCGGTACAGGTGAACTGCAGGATTTTGCACTTCCGCATTGGCTCCATTTTTCAACACCGGAGGTTGCCTCACAGCATCATCCCATTAAAAATCCCATTAGAATTCAATTCAATTCAATTCAATTTGAAATACATTCTTAAGCACCAGCCAAAGATATTAGTCTTTCCTCAATCAGGTGTTTTGGTGCTCTGGCTTGCTAGCTAACATTAGATGTCGTGTGATAACGTACCATCGTGTTAAGTATTAATGCAGGGAGCTTAGAGCTGCGTGAACCTTAGACGGTGAGTGGGTCCACAATTTTTTAGACCACTACAGGCTAAATGTTGTGAAACAATCAATTCCAAATGATAATTCCCTGTCAGGATGCAGAAGAAAATCTTGTCATGCCTTAATAAATTGCAGACAAACACAGAGGTACTTGATGCTAGAGGTATATGTACAAACTATTTTGTGGTGTAAAACTCATGTAACGTCTTACCTCGGGGGGTAATACTAATAAGTGAAGTCTCACTAAAGTACAATAGCATTGCTCCAAATAGCAGTTCAGTGTTTCCAGCCACAAGAAAGAGGAAGTTAAAGTGAAATGTGAAACGTTTTATACTGTTTGAAAATTGTATTCTATTGTTTAAAGGTGCAATGATTGAGGTCCTCTGATTGTTTTTGGTTTATTGTAGTATTGTATTTTTACTCTTATTGTTAATAAGAAATCTCACAAGTAGGAAAATATCTATTGTTCATGAAGTGAGGGGTTTAGCAGGGGGATTGAACAGGAGCTCTACATGACACGATTTCTTTAGGAGCTGAGCACCCCTAAAAGTCTGATCCCTAAAATCGCCCCTGATTTCATCTCATGAGCCAAATTCAAATCAGTATCATTGCTTCAAGGAATGGTTAAAACCTTAATGGACTTTCAGAAATTAAATTAATAACACCAGCCCCATTCAGTACTGGAACGTTTGGAATTCATGTTTTAATAAAATCATGTAATTACCACATAACCGTCTTGAGTTTTCCTTTATTCAGAAATTAGTCACACGTCTCAGACTATTTCAGATGGAGTGAACTCAGATGAAGCGTTGCATGCAGCCTACGTCACGCTGCTGAGGGCTTGTTGTAAACACTGTCATGTGTAACGTGTGAGCGTCACAGGCCGATCATTA